ATTATTGCATGTAGGTTGACGAGATGTTCGTTTGAAAACAATAAGTTTGGTTATCCTAAACCGATTATGCGTCATTCGACCTCGGATGTGATGAGATGTTGTTACCAAAAAAAATATCATATTATTTTTTTCTCGTTATCTTTAAAAGTATTACATGATATTTGCAGTCGGAGTGCAATACTCGTCGTAAAAACCGACCAACCTACAATATAATAATAAAAAATATTATCGTTTTCACCGATAATGAATATTACTTCAGTACAAAATGAGTTATTGCCTATTGGCCGTTGCGAAACACTGTTTTTTATGTATGCTACTCGAGTAATCCTCCAGAGTTATTAGTCATTACACACATTAATTAATTTCCATATTAATTATACTTATGAACGGCGATCAAGATAATCAGTCGGTTGCTGGCGGCTGCAGACATATGGATAATAAACGGATACACTGCGTTAATAAAACCGACACGTTCTCAAATAAGAGCTGCGCATTTCATTTACGCGGCACAGTGTTACTTGTATGATTAATAATTTTTATTATTGCTGTTGTTGTGTTTGTTTGCGATGGAAATGAGGCCGTAGCAACATAATACCACCGACGCAGTCGAAATCCAGCGAGCTTATCTAAAAAAACCTTCGAATGAGACCAAAAAACTTGAATAATATGTGTAAAAATTCACATTGCCGTTTAACAATCGAGTCGTTTGTTGAAATCTTCGCCTTGACAAATAGCGGTTAACCATTCAGTTATATATTATGTATGAGTATTGTGTTTGTTAATCTACATTTTTTTTTATCCTTCGCCAGACGTCAGACTATACGTGCGGATTTATTAATGATTTCCCTGTGACTACACTCGGCCGTATGGTTTTTTTGTATTATATTTTGTCTTTTTTGAAACGTAGGTCGTTGAACCGCCACATGATTTCGGTACTCTCCAGAGATGCGTACAAAGAGCATCGACCAATCGTTCCGACTGCGACGTATTCCGCCAGTGTATTGTCTCACATGTGTCGTTGTTACTATTATTGCCGTTATTAGCCCACCCCTATTTCTGTGCCCCAAACTTGTAATGCGCAAACCGAATATTGCATGGCAATCGTCAAACTAGAGGCGGAGGCAGTAATCAAATCAATCGTAAAGATAAACCATTAGCTTGACCTTTATTGACCAGCAGGCGTTTTCGGTAATTAATCGTTTAATTTCGCCGTGACGCAATCGGCGCGCATTTGTTATCGAGTAAAAAACGCGTATCACAATTTTCCGGGACACTTTTCTATATTTATCATCTCACACGTGCTCTTTCACACCCTCGTAAAGCAGCCAGAGTTCTATTTTTATGCTCCGCGTTCAACTCTTTAAAGGTCGCCATTACACGCTCTGTTAATTTTAACTCGTTATGGAAAGCCGTTCGGCCACAATAGGTGACCTTTTTTTTTACCACTCGTTAATTTGTTATTAGATTTTGATTTTAACGGCTCGCCTCTCCATGTCGTTACACACTAGTGTGTACACGTATTTTTTTATCGTGCAAGTATCGAATGGCAGCAGCCAACGCCCCGTCATTTACTCGTCTTCTTCTCCTTTTCCCTGTCTTCGTGTAATCCACTACGCCCAATGTAATATAATGTAACAACGGCGGATTAATAATCGCTTTTCGTCGGTGTTTGTTCGTCGTGGTTTTCGCTGCTCCGACCCCCTCGTCTCCACTCTCAAGTACACATGTGCTGTGTACTTATCACCTTTACGGCCAGGTAAATAAAGTGTGTACACAAAACGGTGTGTACTTACATAAAACTCGGTAGGTGAAAAATAGTAACTGTTAAAGGAAAGCCGAAAGAATACGGCGGCGGCAACGTTGTTATTGCGGCTAACCGCCTTCGTAAACTGCTAAGCCGGTGCCGAATAACCGTAAAAAACGTTGTTACGTTTCCATTGGATTTATAGGGCACGAGTTGTGTGCTATAAATCGTGTATGGACAGTGCACAAACCAAGGTAAGATATGCCTGTAGTTCACTGTATCATTGACTTCCCGAGAAACTAATCCGAAATCGTTGCTCGAATTGACAGGCCTCATCGGTTCGTGACTATTCGCGGGTACAACGCCCATTTTTTTTTTTTTTTGCCGGTTTGACTGCTGTGAACTGAATTTGGTATCGATTGCTTCGTAAAACGAGAACGAACGCCTCTGCCCCGGTTAGTCTAATTGATGTCCCAAGGAAACCTCGCCTAGTACCTTCAGTCTATCGCGTGTCGTTTCATTTGCCCCAAATGAATTGGAACACAATAGAAACGCCATTATTGTAATCGCGTTTTTTTCAAAGGAATATTTAGTAAGTTTATTTATTTTTAGTCCAAGGGATTATAGCAAGTCTTCCTAAATGTACACGGAAATATTTTTAGTAAAAAAAAATTTGTTTGAAAATATTTAAGACATTTTTTCACGGATTTCGTTATCTGTCAAACAACATGAACTAATATGCTATTTGACAGCGAGCGTTCTATACACGTAGTCGTTCCCATTTCGATATTATATCTACAAACAGTCTATCCAAATACGTGAGGCGGCCCACGAGCTACTAACGCAATAACTCTTCCCCTTAAATAGAAAAATCTCTAATGTTTCCTCGTATCCAGCGGCTGTCGTCGGGGACATTTAATTAATCAAAAATCACAGGAAGTGGATTATTGTAAATTAATGTCTTCGTATACCGTTTCGAAACACATTTAATGTTGTTTTTAGAAATAAAACTGGCGACAGTTTGTAGTAAAAAGAGTAATTTTAAGTACTTTAACATTTATATTTTTAATAACCCTTCGGGTCGTAAACAGGAGACATTTTACACTTGGCAAATAGTCAAAACAAACAATATAGGTTAAAGCGAATTTGTTCAGAATTTTTTTTTTTTAACGTTACGTTGTCTACTTTGGTTTGGAGGACACATCAAAAGCTTACTCAGCAAATTCTTTTCCATTGACTAGCACTAATAATTAAATTGATTGAATAGGTTTACATTTCACAATTATCGATTGTATCTCATCGCCTACAATCGTGTTGCACACTTATATTACACTCCGCACATATTACATTCCAATTGAGCACAATAGTTTGTTATTGGTTCTGAGGTGTTTTACATAGAAGGTAAATGAAAAACTGAGCTACGAAAGGCGTTTTCAAAACTGAGTTATTTAGTTGACTCGACTAACAAACATAAAAAAAGAAGTACATCGATAGACCTCGACGTTTTATAACCATAATCACTTACGACGTTGTACTAATAATTAATACAGACTATTTGAAATTCGTGTTTATGTTTCTGTCCAATCAAGTATATTATGCAATAAAAAAAAAACTCAATAAATAAACTACAGTAATTAAACGAATAAAAAATCAATGAATCATCAAGTGAACAAGTTTGAAATAATTTATAAACATAAGTATCACAAAATACCAGACATATTCATAAATAAAATTCTTTCATAACATAGCTAAGTTCATTTTTGAATCGTGTGTCTTTGTAGATAACGAAACCTAAATCCATTGATGATCTGTTTGTTTTTGGATGTTAATGAAATTCTTTATTTTATGTTTGCTGTTCTCTAAATCCCCTGTAGTGTGAAGAATATTTGAGATAAAAAAAAACGTCGACCAGACGATCTCTCTTATAAATAAACCTTTTAGTAGTCGTACCAAATTTTTAAGAATCTTTTTTCAGACAACTAAAATTGATAATTCAAGTTCTTTATATGATGATATATTGTTAGGGGCTTGTTTAATACTTGAGGATCTTGGTCAAAACCAAGAATCGGAAGCTACCCGACGTTTGCCTAAATATCGTCCCTAACTCCTTAAATGAGTTTTAAATACCTGTAGGAGACACAGGCAATCGTGTACCTTAGTGACAGGAGATAGATTATTAAATAAAATTAAACTATTGTTTTATGTCAACGACAAGGTAAAGTTATATTTTAGATATTCAGTAAGTATAAGTTATATATAATGTACAATACGTCTGACCTGAATCCTAGTACGGTTGGTTAGTAGGTATATTCAAGTGAGACGGAGTCGGTTGGCTATGATGACAATTGGCGATAGACGGGTCGCTGAATAAGACAAGTTAAGTTATTAATAATATAAATAAGACGAAAGTAATAGCATTAAAAACTATGTCTATAACGGCCATTAAAACACAGCTGCCCTTTGTTAGTTCGACGTCAGTAGCTCCGGACTACAGTTGAGTAGAATTGTCACATCAGCATCTCCCTCTATGCTAATTAATATGTATTACGAATTAAGTAAATGGAAATAAAACGTGTATAATATAAGTAGTAAGAACATAGTAATAAATGTTCTTACAATATTTATGTAAAAAAAAAAAAAACCTAGGCAAACTGATCGTAATAGAATCTAAGAAATTCCTCGACGTAGTATCACGTGTGTTTGGAATACATAGAAATCTCAAGTAAATCATCCGATCGGATCGTTTATCGCGCACGTCTGTCGGATGCCGAAATTTTATGATCGACGACGTCTCCACGACGGTCGTGACTATCATATAATTGAGATCCCGAGTCACCTTATAGGGAGAGACAAAGGACTGGTTTGCCGCCGACGCCTGTGCAACAATAATAGAAGCAGACACACACGGGGCCCGATAATAAATTATTTATCATTGTTATTATTATTATCACACGTTAGTGTGTGCATAATGGTTAATTACTATTGGAACAATCGTCATGCCCGCAAACATAACAATCATTGAGCTCATACATGTTGTGCCTAAATCAATGGTCATGTATGCTTAATATAACAACAACGATATAACGACGTATAGTGTACATACCAGTTATTATACGTTTGATGTTTCGCCGACGCCCACGCACACCTATTTTTTACCCATTTAAACTCTTTCTAACACCGTTACGATAATAAATTCTACGGTCGTGTGTTCAATGTGCGTTCATATTATAATTTTGGGCGTTTTGTTATTTTTCAGTTCACTGCCGACCGAATCAAGTAGGCAACGGAGATCAAAATCTAAACGACGACGAGGGATACTTGGCCGACAGTGATAACACTACTAACGATGAAGACGAAGACGGTACAATTGGAGGCGGTGGAAATCAACAACCATCAGTACCACCGACCATACTGACCACTGGACTTAACATAGAAGCTACAGAAGGCACGACTGTGAAATTACCATGCAAATTGAGTGAGTATTCATTGGCGTCGGTTATTTTTCGGGTTAAACAATATAGATTTCAAAATCCGTTTAAGAGTACGAGATCAGTTAATCTCGAAAATAAATGTGCAAGAAGAGGTGAATTTTCTCGAGTTAATGCTAAAATAAAACTAGTGTGTGTCTAATTGGTTGTAGTAAATAAAAAAAAGTTCATCAAAGTGAACCAACTAATTTATGTATGATAAGATAAGTCTTTAGGCATAATAACCGACTACTTTAAAGATAGACGTGAGATAAGGTTTGTAGGTATAGTAGTTTTATCGTTCTTGACATGTTGGTAGTAAGAGAAAGTTTTTTGAGTTACTAATTACTGTTTTTTTTTTAAGAAAAATTTTACAAGCAGAGGACAATTTTTCTTAAAAAAAAAAAAACATAATAATAAAAAGGTTCTTATTTAATCAGAATGTCAATTTTTGGTAATGTTCCTATTGTTATAAGGTTTAACTGTTACATTATTAATCAAAAGTATTCTCTTGTCTTTCAATACAGTGGTATAGTCAAGAGTTGGCTAAAGGGGCTATAGCCTACCCATATTTTTATTATTAAAATTATATAACTTAAACACTAGTAAGAGTATGCGATAAGTTAAAAAAAGTCTTTAACCTAAATAAAATTTCTGACTACTGATTCATTAATAGTGTGAATGTTTTTCAGACTATGATTCCGATACTGTCGCTACGTTGTGGGTCAACAACAATAAAACTTTATGCACTGAACAACACTGTTTTATGTTCAATAATAACCGAATAAAGGCGTTCAAGCCTCCAAATGAATATGGATACACTCTGGTTATAGAATCTGTCACTCCCGATGACGCCGGAGAATATTCGTGTCAGTTAAGCGTACCGGAAAAAACAAATATAACTCATACACTCCGCGTTACCCGTAAGTACAACATTCACTTAATTTTTAACGAACAGGTAAATTAAAACAATTAAACGAACCACGTGGACATCGATTTGTGTTGTTGATATCGTAGAAATTCGAGCTCTCATGTCCGGTCAGTTAATACTTTCAAAGAAATCCGAAAACATAAGGAGATATTAATTCGAACGAAGCGGCCAAAACCGTTTTTAACTTGAAACCGTTATACCGTTTATACTAAGGTTTCTTTATGTTAGTGATCTCTGTATGTGAGGTCCCGAATATCAGAACGCGATATTAATAGCACTTTTATGAAGACAAACCCCCCCAAAACATTGTTAGACTGTCTGTTTATAATTTTTCTAAAAAAACTATAATGACTTAATTAAAATTTCGTTAAGTCGGTCTGGAAGAAGTAACTGTCTTCTAGTTTCTTTTGATCCAATTAAAAATAACGCTTACCGTTTCTTTTAGAGCCAGCACGTATTACAGAAATAGATCCTAAAGTTACTAGCAAATTGGAAAGAATGAAGGGTGATCCGTTGTACCTTCAATGTATGGCTACTGGAAAACCTGACCCAACTATTATCTGGACCAAAGTAAGTGTTTTATAAAAATATTAAAATCCTTAATTATTTCGAATCGTTATTGTTGTGACTATTTTCGCTCGAGATTTGCTGATAATTAGTATGGTATTCATTAGTTATGTTGAAGTATCAATAGTTTTCTAAAATTTAATCTTCAAGGTCATCCAAACATTTAGGGTGTTTCATCGAATTTTTTACAGATGTCCCTTTTCAATTCTCAGGATAAACGATGTTGAATAGTCATAATTATACTCTTTGTGTAGTATTATCGTTAACCTCTGTTGTATTAGCTCCTGTTTGTCCTCTCAAGTTTCTTGTCCGTGATGTATCCATCATGTTTAAATTAGCTTTTGTTGTCATTACAATTTGAATCACAATACTATCATTTGTAGTCCAATAAGAAAACTCTTGTTGCCACCAACGAAAACGACAACACTACTATCATTATCTCTAATGGACCTGAAGTCCGGATCGAGTCATTGATGCCATCCGACGCCGGTTTCTATGAGTGCAAAACTGAGAACAGTCACAGTGCTGACCGAAAAGGTTTTCCATTGGAAGTTAATTGTAAGTGTTAAAACTCGTTTACTTTAAAACGTCTTGTTTCATAACGATTTATATTATTTTTAAAGATAAACCTGAAATTGAAGTGCCAAAAACAATTGTTAACACAGGAGAAACTTACACTGCCACCTTGGCTTGCATCGTTCATTCATTCCCAAAACCTAGGGTAAAGTACATCACTAATTATATGGGTGACCAATATGTTTTATTGGTTTACCAATAGAATTAAAAAAATCAATAGACACTGTTACCTTAAATATGTGATGATTTATAATAGGTGTCTTGGCTCAAGAATGATCAACCTATCGAGGTAATTGGAACGAGGGTTAATTCAAAGTATGAAGATTCGAGAGAGTCCGGCACAAACACTTACAAGTTGATAATCAAGCATATTAATTCTGCCGAAGATTTTGCCATTTATAGATGCCGCGCTGAGAACAAGCACGGATTTGTCGTAGGAGACCCAATCTTAGTAACCGGTATATTTCTTCTATAAAACGGTTTTAATATTATCTAAGTACTTATCAGTAATGTTTTTTCCATGCAGGTTCTCCGGCCAAACCGGTAATGGCTGAAACAAAGGCAGTGGATACCAACGAAGTCACATCGATTGCGGGCCGCAGTACACAAGTCATTTGGGTTGTCGATAGCTGGTCACCAGTGTTGGAATACCAAGTGGAATATAAACGACAACAAGTATGCAAACCTATGCTTTCACACGTTTGCATAATTTAACTTAAAATGTCTTTACATATTTTTACCGATAAACTTGCTTTGTTTATAGGATGATAAGTGGAAGGCTTTTGAACATCAGCCTCAAGTGCACGATCCCGAAAATCCGTCCACCGACGAACTTAAGTACCGCATTAACTACACGTTCACTATGGCCGATTCGGCTACTTATGTAGCCAGAGCCCGTGCCCGAAACGAAAAGGGTTGGTCCGAATGGTCAAACGATGCCATTTTTTCGGGTAAGGGAATATTAAAAAATAAATCTATAAAAAGAAACATGACACCTCTAGAATTTGTACATAACTTGTAATAAATGTGCGACTGTACATTTTTTGTATTTATAATGAAAATATTAATCATAATGATATTTTCTTCGCATGCATAATGTTATTTAATTCTTTTCTCGCTTTTTAATTGAGTTTTCTTTATTGTAATTTTGCACGCTTATATTATATGCTCTCTGTAGGTGGTATGGAAGACCCAAATGCCAACGAAATACCAAACCAAAACGGCGATAAAGTTATAAGTGAGTAGTTAGTTATGGTCTCTGGGCATCAATGCTTAAATTACTTTTATTTTTTTACGCCACGATAAAATTTTCATGTAATTTCATAATGAAAAAATCGATTGCACGTTGATAGCACAATGTCTATTAATTACATATTAACTTTACACGGTGAAGCGGTAGCCGAACAATTTGTTTAGACACTTGAGTAAACATTTTACTAGTTTTTTCATGGTAAAATTAATTTTATATTGTTGGGTTACACATTAACTTGATCACGTGTAGGTCTTTTATTGATATAATCTAATGATTGGTAGGTCATAAATTCGTGTCGAGTATAAGAAAACTTATTAATATTAAAATGAACAAATAATAACTTAAAAACAAGCAAGGAAATTGCCGCGTTTTCAAGGTATTTGGCATACGTGTTGATTACTCATAGAACGAGATGATATAAACACTTTATTTTTTTTGATATACTAGTGTGTCTATTTACTTTTTAAAATAAAACTTGTGTTGGTTTTCCATTTTTTGTCAGTTAGAGCTTTTTTTAAAGTTTTTGGTTTAATGATATAGAAAATAAATAATAATAGTTTTTTCAAATGTTTAAAGAATACTCTTAAAAATATATTTTAAGTTAAAATGTAAAACTTTATTTTCTTCGATGGTTTTATTTCTATTTTAAGTACGAAACCCATTAAAGAAGAAAATAGTAAATAAATATATCTTAATGTAATTAAAATATACACATGAAAAACAAAGTTTTTCGATCAATTTTTCTAAATTTATATTAATGAGTCATTTATATTACCAATTAAAAAACTTCAAAATTATAGGTCTTCTATCTGTGCACGTAAATTTAAAAATAAAAAGTAATAAAATTATTAATACACACTCATCATCGTAAATAAAACGTCTAATTATTTTGAAAGGTTACGGCACTTATTTTACTCATCATGACTGTGATGTCACTTTTATTATGTATTTTTTTATATAATACGCTATCGTAGAAAATAATTAATACTTGTAATAAGAGTTTGAATTTTCTGAGAAAAAAATAACTTTAGCTTCGATGAAAAGCTGAGAAGGTATAATTTTACTATGATGCGTTTTTTTATATTTTTAACTTTTTTAAAAATGACCGAATCAATATAATTTTTTTTTATAGATGCATGAGGTCTTTACCTATCATTTGATATATTTTTGTGAACATTTGACCCTTTACCCCAACCTACAGGAAGAGTTTCAAAATGGCAACTTTTTCACAAAAAAATAACTTTTGATAATATTTCAGAAAAACTGACACTGTTATATACACCTTAAATTAAATCTTATGTAATATATTTCATTTTGAAATAAAAAAAATTTGACCTCTGGACTTGTCTTCGCTATGAAAACGGATACCAAAATTAAACAAAAAAGTACGATTTCCGTGAAAAAATTATCGATTTTATATTTTTGAATTTATATTGCTATAACTTTTTAAAAAATGTATGAATCAATTCTGTTCTTTAACGATAAATACTTTATATATACCTCTTTCATTCGACATACTTTTTATTTTTATTTGCCTTTATACAGGGTGGTTCAAACTTTTAAAAATGCGTATAGAAAGTAGAATTTTTTCAACTTAACTTTTGAAAGTGTTCCGGAAATACTGAAAAATTTTTATATATCTTAAATTAAAGCTTATGTAATATACTTTAATTTGAAAAATAACTCCTTCGATTTTTATTTTATTTAGATTCAATAACTTCAATAAAGATTGAGGATCCCATCACTATAGTCCACCCTCGTGAGAAGAAAATTCTTATTCATATTAAAATTATTTAACTATATTATAAGTTTTAGCTTCGATGCAAAGCTGAGAAGGTATTTTTTTGTGACTATCATTTATTTTTTCTGTTCTACTTGACCTACTTTTTTAAACGATACGTCAAATGATTACAATTCGTATCTAGTTGAAGATATTATCCTCAAAATTTGAAAAAAAATTCTAATTTATCAATTAAATAGTTACTTATTCTATGTTCTACATACAGAAATTAAAATCGTTCATTTTTTATGTTTTCAAAGTATTTATTGACGAATCAAGTTTGATATGATAAGTTCAACTACAAAATTAAATAATTTTACTTTGTAATATCAGAATTTTTTTACTCTATTTGTGTGTGCTACTACTAGACTATAATATTCCAAATTTGTTGGTAACATGTTGCTATATAAATCATTTCTAAAAAAATGAGGTTTTCCTGAATTAACAATGGATTTTTACAATTACATTCTAATTTTATAGTACGCAATCAACTCAATTGGTTGATCTTTTTAATCTTTTAATAATAAGTAATAATGTTATAACTTAGAAGTGGTAGAAAAAGTCTAATTGCACATTTGAAAACAGTGCGAAAAATTGATTTAGAAAAGTATATTTTTGTTTTTGATGAAAAATCCTTGTAGTCCAGTGTATAAATCGTATAACTTTGTTATAAGTAACAAAAACTTTTTATTGGAAAGTATTGCATCAAGCCCTTTAAATTTTTATACGCGTTAAAAGTAAAGAAATATACAACTTTATTATTTTTATAATATCTCCGTAAAAATTACAGTATTAAAATATTGAATATTAATTTTATACTAAATTTAATTACTTTAATTATTATTTATTCATATATTATAATTATAAATCAAATAACTAATTGGGATAAAATTAAGGGAATAAGAGTTATTGTTGCTTTTGACATAATCTACCAATTTCTTAAAATTAAACAATTTACAGATTTGCATCGAAGCGTTTCTTATGATAGTAATTTTAATCACTGTTAGATATAATCTATATTTGTCCCAACTACACCACGTCCATACTGTGCCGCGACCCCACTGTGCTACCGTTTTTTTAGATTTTATTATTGTACGTTGAAAATTATTATTCTTTCATTTTTATAGTAAATTATATTATGCCCCCATAACAGTTTTATTCATAAGACACCCTCGTTTTCGACCCCTTTAATCTTAACGAGACATGTTGAATTACATATTCGAATTGAGATCCATTTATTTTTCTCATAACTGAGCAGCGATTACGTGGTTCACATGAATCATCAGGCAAAAGTTGGGCTTAAGCCAACTTCATTGATCATTCATTGGAGACGATTATTTTTGATAAATTTTATGATTTGACTGTTTATTTATTTTATGCGATTGGGATGAATCATCTAAAACAACAATCGCCAGGGGTGATCAACGAAAACTCTATTATTGGATTATTACTCATTGTTTTTTTTTACACATCGAAAAAGCTTTTAGAAATATTATATTACAAAAAATTTTTAATAAGCAGGCTAACGGTTTCGCACGATTTATCGATAATTATCAACTATTATTATTCCTATCAAGTTTTAAACAAATTGTTGTATCTATCCGGTAAAACTCTTTATTTACAAACCTACATGAAAAAAAAAAAGATAAATAAATATTTTTTTACTAACATTTGTTATTCTATGGTTGTTACAGAAGCGTCGACTTCAGATACAGCATCGTCAACGAGTTATTCAGCTGTTAATGTTTGCCTAACGATGGCGTTTGCTCTTTATGTGGCCCGACACCTAGGAACCAACAACGCGTGTTGAACACTTAAACACCATTTACCAGTAATAGTATAGGTTAACAATCTTTGACAGCTCCTGATATACTGTATTATTATATTTTACATGTTATGGAAAATAGGCAGAGTAGTACTTGTAAGACCATTAATTGTAATAATAAAACCAAAGTATCTTTAACGCGTCATCCACGAATGCCGTTCTATTGTAACTTGTTCTCGCTATTATTATTATTTTTATTATTATGATTATTAAATGTAATGTTTTTTTTTTATTTATTTGATAAAGTCATCGTATTGCTGTTTAAATTATTACTTAAGCTATGAAATTGTCCAAATGTGTTCCATATATAAGATACATAAAGATTTCAAGAAGAATATGCGAACTACTAGTTGCTTAGCTTTATTTTATGTAGCCTATGCATCATATAAATTATAGATAAATTTATTAAATTTTACAAATTGTAATTGACACCAGTAAGTGCCTCGATTTATTAAAATGCTTTATAAATTATTTTTATAAAAAACACTCGACTATTGGAACGACGAGCTTATAAAAATGTATTTTATATAATGAAATTATAATGTTATATTTTTAAAGCTTTTTACAATATTATAAGTATTTTTTAAACTTCATTCTAAAATAGCTTAAAATGAAACGCACAACAATATTGAAGTTATACCGCAAGTTATGTATAATTATATAGTTGTAAAATTTTTATTTTATATGTAAAAGATAATCAAAATTAATTATCAAAATGTATGATGCTTTAATGTTGTATATTAGCGTTGATTACATGTTTTTATGGATATGTACTGGAATTTATTAGTTATGCTATTTACAATTAGTTTAATATGTTTTATTATTATGTAACTTATATATAATATGTAAAATTTTGGTTCTATTTTTTAGTTTAAGTGTGATTTTTTTTTTTTTTTTGCTATGATATACAAAAATTATATCGCCAAAATTTACTACTATCTAGTTACTACTATTATACAACATTTGTGTATATCATAATATTTGCGTTATTACTATCATTATATTGGATATCTTAACTACATAGTTACTGTATTCAAATTATGTCGACAGGAACGTTGAATATATAAATAAAACTTTTAACAAATACTTCACTTAATAGTTTGTTTTTCTCACGTTTTATTATTGTATTCGGGATGCTCTGCTGTCAATTTAAATTATACACCAGACAGCTATATTAATACAACGACAGTCATTAATGTATTATTTTTAGTGGATTGTCAACTTGCATACTGATGAGCACAAAAAAAAACAGTAATAATTTGCTAGTAAAATTTTTATTGTCATTTACAAATCACAAATGATGACTGTTAGTCAACTATAAACTAAATGTTGCTGTCATAAAACGTACAAATTTAATGTACAATAAAATATTTCCTTTAAATATAAAATAAAATATAGTTAATATATTTTGAAAAAAATAGTTTTATAGTACTTAGATAACGTTTGATAAATCGTATGACTGGATATTGACAAATTCAACGTTTAATTAATAGAACAAAAATATACAACTTTATATACTTTAACGTGGTAATTAATCAATACATACATGTTAAAATATAATTAAAGTATAAAAATATATAGACTAAGTGCTATTTACTAATAAACATGATGTGCATTACAAAAAAAATTTGTTCATGATCACTAACGTCAATAAAATATTCTCTAATATCAGAATTTGATATAAAAAAGCAAAAAGCTATAGGTAACTATAGAAATATGATTATCGCCATCGTCATCTGGTAGAGTTGGTGGAGGATGATGGTTGGAATAGCCCGGCGAAAAGTCTTCTACCGCTGCTGTTGCCATCTCCGCCACTACCCCAACCAGCGAAGGAACTCAACGACCTCAGAGATGTTGAGGACGTTCTTTTATTTTCAGCTCCATTACCGTCGTGATCGCCGTTGCCCAAGAAGTCAATGGACGAATAGCTCATACAATAGTCTTGCTGTTGACTACCCATCGATTGACCACTCCCTCCATTAGGGCAGTTTGAATGTTGAATCCCGAGCAATTTTCGTCTCATTTGATCATCTAACAATGCTTGCATGTCCATCTACAAGTTCACAGAACATATTAATATGTATTAAATTAATTAAATTATTAATTTATTCAATTAAAATAATTATTTGTAGTATGTAGTACCAGTAAAAGAGAGTTCTAGGCCCCACACAAAAAATACATATTATTTAATTAGATACTGTATTTAACTACTAAAGATACTTGAAATTAACATAATGCCTAGCGTATCGATCAACATTTTTTTTAAAACTAACTAAAATCGTAACTACACTCATCAGTTTATATTTCAATATAAAAAAACACTATAAAACATCTATGTAGAAATTAAAAAAATCTGTATCTATTGAAATAAAATCTGATTTTGAACTCATCCAATCTNCACTAAGTGCTGCTACGCGCTTACTCGTGTGGGTTTCGATTACGCGCCCACCGGAAGGTTAATACACTAGCTATTTAAAAAAATTAATTATTTTAGGGATTTGATCATAATAAATGCAACAAAGTATTATATTATAACTTAAAAAATTACTTAAATAAAATTCAACACCTAAAAGTTATAAATAAACTTTATGGTCAACAAAATTTATAAGCTAAATGTAAAAAAATGTTAACATTATCTGATGAATTATGTAGAAATGATTCACGAATAAAGAAAACTCTGAAAAAATCTTAATTTTTGTTTTAAAAGTGTCCAATTTTCATCTGATTTAATTGCATGTAACTTGTATGACTTGAATATACTTTTACTTCAGCACAAGCTAAGGAACACTGTTTACGACAATATAAATTTAAAAAAACCTACGTGTAGTTAATAATATTAGTGTTTGAAATTCTTTATAACAAAAGTAGTACTTTTATTATAAAAATTTAGTGAAGTAAAATTATGGTATTAATATTTTTCGAGTATGTTTATGACAATAAGCTCAATGGTCAAGAATATTCTTTTTAACATGTTTTTATTATATTTTAAATTATTTTAAAATGGTCTTGAATTGGCCGACAAGTATAAACTTGGTCTCTTCCAAATTTATCGATTGAGGTTAAAATAATTTGCTCAAACAAAGTTAAAAATATAATCTATTACGAATAAATATCAACCAATTATAAATGTATAGTGATTATATAGAATATTTTTTACTAAGAGTATTAGAAATTCTAAGAATTTTTTCATTGGATCTACACTAATGATCAACAAAGATTTTTGTGTATCATTGGCTATAATATTTGGAAACCATAGAAATATAAAAAAAATTTGAAAGCCATAATATACAATAACATTAAGAAACTTTAGAAATTCAATAACATTAAGAAACTATATAAATGCAAAAAATTAAGAAACTATAAAAATTCAAATGTCAAGAAACCACAGAAATGCATAAATTTGAGAGACCATAAAAATGCAATAACACTGAGAAGCCTTAGAAATGCAATAGCATCAAGAAGTCATAGAAATTCAATAATATTAAGAAGCCATATAAATGCAAAAATTGAGAAGCCATAAAAATGTAAAAAATTGAGAAACCATAGAAATGTAATAATATTAAGAAACCATTTAAATGCAAAAAATTAAGAAGCCATATAAATGCAAAAATTGAGAAGCCATAAAAATGCAATAATATTAAGAAACCATATAAATTCAAAAAATTAAGAAGCCATATAAATGCAAAAAATTGAGAAGCCATAAAAATGCAATAATATTAAGAAACCATATAAATGCAAAAAATTAAGAAACCATATAAATGCAAAAAATTAAGAAGCCATATAAATGCAAAAAATTGAGAAGCCATAAAAATGCAATAATATTAAGAAACCATATAAATGCAAAAAATTTAGAAGCCATATAAATGTAAAAAACTAAGAAACCTAAAAAGTGCAACAGCAATAAGAAGCCATAAAAATGTAGAAAAATTTTAAATCTAAATAATGCCTAAACATTAAGAAGTCATAGAAATGAAAAAAATTAATAATATTAAAATTAAAAAAATAATACATCAATTTTTAATTTAATTGTTTTTTAGATAATTTTTTAATGAATTATGTAAAAGATTATATTTTCATCATAAATATTCATTACTTCGAAAAATATTAAATCTTAATTAAATGTTCTTAAAAAATTCCATACATTTTTTAATAATTTATTCTTTTGTAATAACCCAAAGAAAAATATTCTCAAGAATGTTCCCGCTATCGAAAAAATTTTTATGACAATATTCTTTCGTTTTATAGTAAGTATTGATCACTTGTGACTAATATTATTTATAATCAAAAATATGTATAACTCGAAAAGCTATAATAAAAATTACAAAAAAATTAACGCTAAACACATACTGACTCCCTAAACAAAAATTGTTTTATTATATAATAAAACATTTAAAAATTAGCCAATGCTGAAAAACAATATTTTACAATGTCCGATTTTCAAAAAAAAATTTTAAATGAAAGAGCTGGGCGATTTTTTTAGTACTCCGTGAGCGCTTAAAAATTTTTGCAAAAACGCTCATTGTTGTCAATTTCTGTCAAATTAAAACCTGAAATTATTACTTGGTTTACCTAGAGACATTTTAAAGATATTCTGAAAAATTCGTTAATGTCCAATGGTTTTTGATTGAGTTATGAGCTTTTCTTTTATGCTCGGCACTCAGGACTGCGTTGTCTGAATTTTTCGCACCACTTTGCTCTATGAAAATGATATGTTTTCTGTTTCAATCATATATCACTGTAATCTACATGCTACGAGGATGGTGGAAAAATCCGAAATCGAATCAAAATTCTACTGTTATTAGCGTTTAAATATATCATTCTTTTGTTACATCACTAATCGTTGCCAATATTTTTGTATTGCAATCTTAATAATTAAAATCGCTGTCTTACTAAATATTAGTAAGACAATAATTTAAGTATATCTAATAATAATCAATGACGTCGAATAATAATTGGAAGTAATACATCAATTTCCATAACTGGAAGGTAGGGGGTTGACCTTTATTGTGCCCTCGAGCGAGCTACTTTATACAGACATTAAATTAATGGAGCTAATCAACTTGGATTGCACTGCTTATTTATAAAAATTAATCATTCAAAATTAATGGAGTATATGAAATTAAAAAAATCCTTCATTACAACAACAATATATTGTAAAGTTGAAATAATTGAAAAAAAAAAACAAATTATTTAAATATTACGAATATTAGATAAAATAAAAAACAGCAAGAAGAATAAAAATATAATCGGGACACGTATAGATGTTATCTGACAGTGATTTTAATCACTGTTTCAAAAAACGATTTTATGAAAATCTGTATTTAATTTTTAGAAGAAATTGTTAGATTATTCCAAAATCAACATTAACTTCTATTTCTTAGTAATATCCTGATTACCATTTTTATGATTTTTAAGTATAATATAAGAATAAATATTTATAAAAGCAATTAAATCTAATATAAATTGATATGATATTAATATTCAATTATTTAGTGTTGTAATATTTATGGAAAACCTATAAAAAGTCGTAAAGTAGTTTCATATTTCTCTATAGTAAACGTATATCAATATTGTTAATATCAATTTATCAAAATAAGAAGAGAAAGTTAACTTTCTTAATTCGATTATTATTATGACCTTCGTTAATTAATTATTATTTCAGTTATAAAATTGTAATTTATCATAAAATTAGCTAGAACATTTGTTTTTTGAAAGGGCTGCGCCCTTCCTTTTAATATACTAGTAGTATATTGGATTGATATTAAAAGCTTATTATTATTAACACTTAAATTTACATATATAAGACAATTCGTCGGGACATATTTTAATTTTTAACTTATAGTATGTATTATGAGCTTTAATTTAACATATGGTTGAAGATCTGAGTATTTTCGGAATACATTCAAAAGTTAAATTAAAAAGGTTAACACTTTATACAAAGGATGCTCTTTTGAATTCCTCAGATTCAAAAAATGTTTTTTTTTTTCCAAAAAAATATATCTAATAAAAGGGGAAATTACCTTTAGGCATTCATAAAAAAGTTGTTTTCATTCATTCATAGTTTTAAAGTTAAAGTTTCAAGTAAAAAAATGTCAATTTTACTAACTTTAAAAATCGTAATTTTTGGGGGATTTCCTTCACTGACGGAAAACTTAAGTTTTGTAATAAGTACAGTTGTCTTTGAAACAAAAATTTAATATTTTAATAGAATTGCATTATTATAGTATCAAACATTTATGTTTTTTAATTACAGACAATATGAATACAATATTTGCAGTAGAATGAATTATGTTTATTAAGTTGCCTATGTATAACTCCTTGACTGGTGTTACAGATCCACGCTTTACCGTTATAATGTTTAACATTGTTAAGTTATATTGTATTATTGTAATATTCAGAACACACCTGCCATTGTTCCAACTGCTGACTGAGCTCGACTTTCTGCCGTATAGCTTCCATCAGTTGACCATTGGCCTGCAATACGTCTATACGTGTTCTAGCCAACTGAACTTGGGCGGCATTTTTTCTAGCCACGGCACCGTCTCTGGCTTCCCAAGCTGCCTTGACTATGTCTTCAACCTTGTTGTTCTCTAAAACTGCCTGTTTATCCTTAAGAGCGAAATCTCTTTCTTCTCTGGCAGTTTGTAATTCGGTATCCCTCACAGAAAGCTAAAAAAAAAAAAGTTTGAAAACAATGTTTCTTCTATGTTAAATTATTATTTTCCTATATTTACTTCCTGATTAACTAATATAAATAAAAATTTTTTGTCATTATTCTTTATCGTTAATTTTTTTTTTAATACAATTGCTTTATCTCAGTTTTGGCTGATTTACCACGTCTAAATGTTTTTTTTTTTTATAGTTTTCACCTTCACACTCTGAGATTTTCAAGTTCGGCGTCACTATTATTAGTCATTGGAATGATCGAATGTACTTACCTCGGAGGTCAACTGGTTGATGTGCTCGTTACGGCCCCTCAATTCCGTTTGGACCAAATTAAGTTTATCCCGCAACCGATCCGCCTCTTCTCTGGTCCTATTTAAATCCACAGCGGTTTCTTCTTCTGTCGACTGATTGGAAACATTGTAACCACCAACGCCTAACGCCTTATTCAATCGACGCACTGCTTCTTTCAACGATTGCCGTTGCTGTTGAAAACAAACAAAAAAACCATTTTATTTGACATTAATACAGTTATTAATGATACCGACAGACGCCAGTATATATATTACATTATTGTATCCAATGATGTACTTAATTTATTGTATTAGGTATACCTAATCCCTTTGACTGATCGAACCGACTCAAAGTCATTGTTATTAGAGAGTAAAGGGAACGATGACGAAACACGCTGAAAGGGAGGGAAATACTAAGTAGGTCGCGTGTCAGCAAAAGTATTATGAGGGTAATTTCATTATGACGGATGGAAAAATCACGAAGGGAATGTTATAATACCAATGGAATGTCTTACATAAGCGAACGCGGTGAAAAACATTATATATATTTTTCCATTACTGCTATTATTTTATTGTTATTGCTTTTTTATAGCATTACTCGTACCTCATCGTTGTCCGCGTTTTCACCGGTTATTTCCAATTGTCCGCATAGACGTAACAGCTGTCCCGTGACAGACTCTTCATGGGAAGGACTTTGTTCGGAGGAAATCACTGGGGCTGCAGTGACTCGACCTTCGGCCTGGTCCATTTCCATTTGCAACGACAAAGGTCCCACCAGTGAATCGCCTCCGTTTTGACATTTTTTAGCGTCATGTAGCTTCGACGATAACACACAGTTGGCCCTATGTAATTCGTCAAGTTGCTTTCTGAGTGAATGATGCTAAAAAATTAAATTAAAGTAGTTAACGTATGATAGTCAGATAACCTATAGGTTAATCTTTGTTAGTTGTCCTTCTTTACAAAGTCAATTTAAGGAGTTCTTAAAACAATTGACGGCACTATGTATTGCCGATTACATTACAAAAAGGAGACAAGTAAAACGTTGCACGTCATCGAATAAAATAACATGATTTTTAAGAATAGCTCATATTGCCAGCATTGTAAGCATTTAGATTACATTCTTTGAAAGTAAAAAATAAATCTTACTTTCAATTTAGCTGCAGGTGTTTTATAATAAAATGACTAAGAATTGAGTAGTCAATTTTTGCGTTGTCATGACGAAAAAAAAATGTAAATCGCAAAATTCTCCACAAAAATTACTGTAGTATTCTATAATGTGATGTAAGCGTCTAAGATATCTGATAAGGTTGAGAAATATATAAAGTAGAAGAATTGTTTATAATTAAAGACCAGTTTATGTAATAAGATTTGTTTTTAATCAGTTTGTTGCGAAAACGATGTGACTTGTGTTTTTTTAATTTAAATAGAGATTTTTATAAGATATTTTAGAAATATAAAACATTTCAAAGTACACAAAAAATCATTTTGTCTAATATATATTTAAGTTTATAATTCATTAAACCAACAACCTCAATCAGTCAAATTTCACTGATATCAAAGTAGATGAAAATGATTTCATTTCCTACAATTCCTTTTTTATAAAATTACCTTGATTTCATATTCACGACACTCGCGTTCTACTGATCGAACTCTGTCCAAGGCTTCTTCCAAAGCTACAGCTATTTGATCTCGATCAGCTTGTATTGCATGTACTCTTCTTTCTAGTTCTTGTTTTTTCTCTGCAGTAAATTGTATCTAAACAAATAAATACATTGCGTAAAATGTATTTTAAATATTAAAAAATATATGTTTATAGCAAGGTGTATAACGAATTATTTTGAGCTACACAAATTAAGCCGAGTGTGACAAATTCGGCTATTAAATTGTTTTTTATTTTATATAAGAAATTTAACAATTTGACCTTGGGATTACTGCTAATAGTGATTGGTAATGCGAAAGTATACATTTTATGGGTTTTTTGACGCTATTACCGCGTCATTTTGTCCGTAAAATACATTATATATTTGTGAATATATTTTCGACAGTGAAAAAAAAATCATAGCGTCCATCATACACGAATATCTTTTTTTTGTTTAATTCTCACATAGGTGTTCATATTATTGTATTAAATAAAACAATAATATTTTAAGAATTCCCACAATTACGTTTAAAATATGCGAATGAAACATTAACAAAATGATTACTTTATATTTTTCTTATTATTTATACTAATTTTTCAAACGTATGAGATAATTTAAAATTAATTCTTAAAATGCTAAAGATATTTATGATTAGCTTAAATAAAACAAACCGGTTAATGTAAATTAAACATTTAATGCTTTCACAGATTACAGAGAAACGTAGATTATATTGGAGTAGTGAAAAGTGTGGAAATGGGAAATTCATGTGTAATACTAATTCGAGTATTACTATTTACATATAGTTTTTAGAGTTTGTAAGAACCACCAAAGCAATAGAGGGTAAATCACTTAATGATTGAATATTAAAAAAGTTAGAATCCAAATTTTAGGTAAATTTTTATTCAATTATTTAATTGTAAAAATTAAAATTACTATTATCATAATTATTGCATTTATTTTTACATTTATATATTTATATGAGATGTTAGAGTACATTTTAGAAAATAGTTTATTAAGTAACTATTAAAAATAAAACTACTAAGTGAACTTGATTATTATGTTTGAATACAATTAATGACCTACATAATTCTATAGTTGATATATTATCTCCTGTACTACTTTCAATATATTATGTAATTCAAAAATAGATCAAGTTTAAAAACTAATTTCACTTATTATTTTTTTGGTTAAAAACAATATAATTGTATTTAAAACTATTTCGGGCACAAAAATTATGACCACAAAATACTGTGGTTATAAAACCAATGGATACTAATACCTCATACATGGACACATTTTTTTACGCATAAAATTAGATGTACCAACATTTTACTCGAAATTCATAATCAAGGCTTAATTTTTCGACTTTGTTTTTAATTGTTGGATAAACATACTAACCTCTTCTCGGAGTACATCTAGACTTGACTGATGGTCGTGTAGTGACCATTTTCTCTGGGAACATTGATCTTGCAGTTGTCGACATTGAGCTTGAAGATCGTGTTCAGTTTTAGATAGCTATTATGTGTAAAATATACGAGATAAAAAAACATCCAAATTAAAATTAAGAAAATAATAAAAAACAAACCTCTTTGATTTGGGTTTGAAGGCGATGGTTCTGTTCTGTCAGCTCGGAAACCAAACGAGCCTTTTCTTTTTCAGTCTGTCTGAGCTGTCGTTCTCTTTGAGATACTGCTGCTTGTAAGTCTCTAACGTCAGCTTGCAGTTCCAATAGTTTGGCGTCAGATTCGGTTTGAGCATTGACTAACCGCCTTTTTAGTGAATGTCTATCTTGTTCTATTTCCTGAAACAAACAAAAGCTTATGAATTAAGACAATGGATGGCTGTACGTATAAACTGATGCATCCGTAAGTCACATACTTCAAGTATCTATAGACTGGGTTTTCCCATGAAAAGTGTAACGCGTGATGAAATTATCGTGTACTTATCTTAGGTAGACAATAACTTAATAAAATCTGAGTTTCGTGGGACCTTTTTAGCAAATGCTTTCTCTTGTGAGAATTAGTCAGTCCGGAAACAATTAAATACATTAGCTATTACTTTGCATAATATTATAGTGGTACCTTAAAGTTCCTTAATACCCAGTAATTTCGTTTGAAATGTAAATAAATCTTTTACAATTATTGATGAACTGGAATTGAAACTAAAAACATTACATCAATTTTCAAAGCAAACAGTAAAAAAGAATGAAGTTGGAAAGTTAATTATAGACTAAGATATACAGATATACTGTGTAGATATATAAATAGAATAAAATTAATCGTGCTTTTTAACTTCTTATACAACACTAAATTGAAAGATATAATAATAATAATAATCATTAAACTAGTTATGTAATTTGTGCCAAAATATTAATGGAATGATCTTAAAGTATGATTGTTCATTTTATGGTACAGTTTGGCAATTAAAAAACAATATGAATTTAAGATTGAAGATAAAAGAATATCATTTAATTCTGTCGTAATTCAGTAAACAAAATAAGTACACTAAAAAATGTTATTATTTAATAAGTTGCTGTCACATTATATCAGTATAGAATTTATGCGATTGCATACTTTCTAGCACTCAGAATGCTTTATTAATTATAAAAAAATACAACAGCTCAAAAAGGTAGAAAATGTTGTTACCTAATTTGAATAAATTTAGTTGTTTCGTGAAAAAAATAAAGTACTCAAACGAACATCAGACCATATAACAAAATGTCATACTCTATTTATTTTTGTGTTTTGGTATTGAAATAAAAAAAACTATATCCTATTGGATATTATTTTTCGGATTTATCATAATAAAACATAACACGTTCGTGATTATGTTACCCATTAAATTTATATAAAAAAATCTTCTGTACACTAATTTTAATACATTTATGAAAATTTTTAATAAAAAAGCTTTATAGTTTGGGACATACTACTTTTATGATTTAGGAATATTATAAGCTAATATATAAAATATTCATAGGTAAAATGATTGCGTATTTTATTCACTGGAAACCTAATAAGTACTCGAAGTATATTAAAAACTAATAAAATGCATTGCAGAGTTTTCCATATAACCGAATGACAATAATTACAAAATTACTTCGAGTCTTTCGTTATGACACTAAAAATATTCAACTTGCAATGCTCTAATTAACATAGATAAATATTCATTATGTCTTAGATGATTATGAACTTGAAATTTCTTATTAAGTATCTTTTTATACTGTTTCAAGAATTAAATGTTTGGTTTTGTTTCATCAAACTTTCAAGGATGCCTACTGGGGTATACAAGTATGTTTATACTAAGATTTATAACCTTGTAGTTATTATAATCAATTGGCATCGTGATTATATAGAATAAACCCCATTGATAAATTTTTAGGTCACTCTTACTAACTACTGGGTTGAAGTCTAACATATAAATCCTTTGGAATAATTTTATGAATGTCAATTAATTATGATAGTATTTAATGCTAGTTAAAACTTCAGCAACATTTTCTTCTGCGACAGTAAATATGTTAGTCTATTTTTGAATTTTACTTAAGCGTACTAATCATAATAGTGCAACTGTTAGTATGAAAATAAAAAATCGAATATTTAATTGGAGGTATGCAAAAAACTACTTATAGTGGAAATAAGTTATAGACTGTCATGAAGAGTAGATGGCGATCGCCGTCCGGGTCTTGAAAAATCGCTTTATCATACCTTGATGTAGCCATATGGCAAAGATTAAAAACTGTTAAATGTTATGTTTTCATATTATTAATTAAAGAAAATCAAACCATACATAGGTCAACTTATTATTGAGCTGATTAGCAAAATAAAAATAAGGCCTTAAATTCATTAAAGGATCTTCTAAAAATTAACCCACCCGGACTTCCGGGGCATTAGTCCGTTCCTATTGAAAACCATCATTTTATAAGCTTGATTATTTCAAAAAATCTGCAAGATAGACTAAAATTTCATTTTGGTATCACGAAAATATTCATAATTTTAGAGCGACATATGATTCTAGTATGGAGTTTTTGACAATGACTAAAGTTTCAAATAAATAAAGAAAAACTGAACAACTTTTAAGGTTTCAATCGATGCCAAGCAATAATCACGCCGTATTGTAAATAATGTCACATTATTAGTACATCAAAAATCTAATTTTTATTATTCTGATACTAAAAACGGTTGAATTGCACGTTTTTTCTAATCGCAATCGTTTAGACGCACGAAATTCAAATAAACATTTACCGCTAAAAAAATAAAATAATAGTTAAACTAAACATTTTATTTGATCAATAGAAAACAGTTTTCACGCTGTTCGATCGACGTGGATAAGATTTCAAACAATAACAATAACTCTGAATCGTCGAGATCGCAAGCAAATCTATCGATTCCGAGTACAACCTAACAGAAACGCAAATATCCAAAAGAATTATTCGCTAAAAAAAAAGACACTGGCCGGGTCGTTAAATGATATTTAATAACATCCGACAGATTCGGGCGGAATGAGTCGACTTTCTCTCGTACTCATCGCAACACAACATAGTGTTTTTTAACATTGATACGTACAAAGTAATAGTGTCAGTCGGAGAACACGTTTGTTGTAATATTATAGTAATAATACGTAATTATGAATTTGAATGGGTTTCGTTTTTGATTAGCGTTCAGTCAAGGTCAGCCAACCACGAGGCTATTACTCCTGCCACCGTTGCTGCTGTTACTTGGACTATTATTATTTATGGTTAAAAAACGTGAAAGGGTACCCCTTACGCTTGCCCGCCATTATAATACTGCACACATAGGGTTACGAAACACGACTTCGTTACACTTGACATTTTCTTATACACTTAGCCGCGGCTTTTTTTTCATATTGCACGCGACGCACGACCTTGATCGGCCATTGGGCCAATCCAATTTAGGGTTGTTGTGCAACCAGCCGACACCGTGCACGGGTTTATCGACCAGCACTGACCATGTGATGCATTGCTGAAAAACAATGGCCATAATTCGCGTGGCCCGGCAGACGGTTTTTTTTTTATACCGGATGATAGCGAAAATTTGCGTTTTATTGTGTCCACGGACGCTTTCACTTTGCTCTCCCGCCCACTAAACCCGATCATTGTCACAGCAAACTGGCGCTACGGACGCCAAAAAATATAGGTGACTCTTTGTCGTTTGGACTCTGTCGTAACAACTGCTCGGAACGGTAGTCGTGATCGCCTCGTTGCCGGATCGTGCTTTCTTATGGTATCCACAAAGCGGCTGCACACAATAGTAATGACAGTTTAATGATACACATAACAGCGCGGCTGTTTACCGATGGCGTTACGGTGCCGGTTATGAGATATGATCGAGGAGGTTATCGCCTGGCCAAACAAAGACCATTGTCTTACACAGTGCTCGGCGGTAATCATGTAAAATGTCGAGTAATTACTAGTATCTTCGCGAAACACGACCGGAGATTTGCCGCGTACGCACTGTCCGTTTCGGACAAGGATTGTAATTACACGAATAATAACAAAACAAGAACAATAACTATTTCCTAGTAATGTTTTTGTCTACGCTCTTTGCATAGTTCCACATAAACCAATACGGCCGTTGCGCGCGGTGAACCGTATCGATTAGTGCACGCCCTACGGCCGTGGATCACTTAGCAACTACCATAATAAACAGCTCAAGAGGAAGGATTCGATATTTTTTTGTCACTATTAACCCGTACAATTGTGTACACTTATGTGTATACATATGTGTGTGTATATATATATATATATACGACGTTGTCGCGGTTTGTCCTAGAAAACGATTATAGTAATTATTACATACCGGCGACGCGGTCACGGGTTTAGCGCGCGAACGCAGCCTCGACAGCAGCAGCTGTTGGTATTTGGTGCTGCCGCCGTTTAAAGTACTCAGATAAGACCTGAGCGGTGGAGAGAGCGTGTCGAATAACACGCAGTAATATACATGTATACTACGACCATGATTCTGAGTGTAACAAGAAAGCAAAAATAACAACAAATCGGATAATTTTTGCTTACCTCGAGTTTTTCACTGAACTCTTCGGCCAACCGTTCGTTACGCTTGGACAACTCGTCGTTTTTCTCCAGCAGAGCTTTTCCCAGCTCGGCGGCCAAACGCAAATCGCGCTCCCTCTGCCTCAGCTCGGCGTATACGTCCTGCGGTTCGGGTTCCAGACTGCGCCGGCATTGGGCGTCGTAAACGTACTCGTCCAAGTCGGTGTACAGTGACTTGTTGTTGTTGGCCGAGTCTTCCGTCACGATCGGGCACACGGGCTGATCCACTCCGAGCCCCTTGGCGACGCTTCTTTTGCGCTTTATCAGGTGCAGGTTTTCACCTGTGTCACCACACTGTTCGCCGTCCGAACAGCCTGGCGAGTTTTGAGCACACACTTCCATTTGCTGCTGTTGACGCTGCCGCTGTTGTTGCACAACAATGGCGGCCATTTCTACGACGATGTATAATGGCAAATAACAACTAACTAGTAAATATTTATTTCACCCGAAATCGTCGTCGGGTGTCCAAGAACAATAAAGTAATGCAGCAGCTGTTTTCGCCGAACGAACAACAGACGTTAGCATAATAATTGCTCGGGGCCGACGTCGTGAAGACTAATGTGAAATAAAACACGAAAATTAATAACGATAGTATCAATAGAGAAAAATATAAAATAAAATTTTGTTTAAAAAAAAATAAAACTTGTTTCACAAAAAAATAATCCAAGACGACAGATAAATAATAATAATAACAACAACACTAGTATATAAACACACGTGATCGACAGTTGTACTGTTTGACCGAACGGGTGCCGACGGCCAACCGAGCACGACGGACGAACACACTACACTAAACACTCAAATAGCGTTACGCGTAACGGCCGTTATTGTAATAGAATTTTTCTCGCGTGGGAGGTTACGGTGCCGATGGCCGTCGAGGGGGGTATCGGAGAATGATGGGGGGAGTCGAAACAGAAGGAAATAGGTGGAAAGAAATGAAAAACGTCTAGGAAAACGCGACGGTTCCAAGGATAGACTAGCACGCCATACACGGCGTACTGGCGTATAACGACTTTGCGGCCTCGTGTTGTAACCAGAACCGTCGCGGTGGTCATGACAATGCGCTGTGTTTGTGTTACAGCACACTTTTTGGAAAACTCTAGAAATCCAATGCGGACAGCCCACGAACGTACCGCTCCCGAGAGATAATGATTTTTGTTTGTTACAGTGTTTTTTTTTTCAACGTTTCTCTAGACGTTGGCAAAAAAAAGAACGTTGTGATATGATACACCGGCGGCCTACGTTCGCGGATGTGATCGGGCAAAAAAAAAATTACAATATTCGCACACGGGCCGAGCACACCTATAGAGCAACGCTAAGTTAACAACATCGACGCCGTCATAAAATAATTGTAAACCGGTTGAAGTTGAGTAGGTCGCAGCTGAGTCACATTAGATAACATAAATCACCTGAACTGTGCGTGACTCATTATTCATTAACATGGTCTTTCTGGGGCGCTTTTCATAACTGTACAGGGTGTTGCCCAATTTAAGACGGTATCAAGTAACTCTTGTTACGATTTTTTACCCGATAATGAGATAGTATACTTCAAAAAAGCTAAATTCGTGATTATTGTTGACAATAAAAATAAGCAACGATTTTTTGTAATAGGTGTGTTTTAGAAAACTTTTAAAGGCAAGGTCATTATCGTTATTTGTTATTCATTGGGAACATCGCAACTGATTATCGATTAAACTATTTTAGTGATGTCCTCGAACGAGTACACAGCGCCATCGGTATATGTTAATCGACTAGTGGCATTTTTAAAATTAATCTGTATAAACAAATTGTTGGCTTGGCAATGATTCACCGCTATGGAACACGACGTATAACGGTACTCGCTCCTAAATCAGCCTCTGTAAAGTCGTCTAAAAGCAGCTCAAGCATAGGTACTTATTTAAATGAAAATCACAATTCAATTGTTTGTGCTCGTTTTTGTATTTCAATAGTGAAAAATACTTATCTCACGCCTCCGTTAATACACTACACCACACGCAGTATAATTATTATTTGAGCGTTAGTAAATTTAAAAAACTGGCAGAATAAGTGACGGTAACTAGTTAATTAATTACTACAACTGACTAATTAAGGTTAGCAGGATAAAGACCAGTACTTTTCGTGATCAATATCAATATGTATTGTATCGATTTTTCTGTCACACGACATAAACCATATAAGAATTGATTGCAGTAACGTAATAGTTTATTTTTAGATGTTATGATTGATCTGTTAAAGAATAGAGAAATTCAAATATGACAATTGGTATATAGTGTTAATTGAACGAACGAGCCATTAACACATTATCCAGGTAAACGTACAAGAACACATTTTTATTTGATGTAATATAAAAATAAAACATATTAACAATGCCAATCTGATTCATATGCAATGTTTCGTCGTTTATACTACAAAAATTCATTTTTCAGTATTTATAGATATTCAGGATGATCAGAAAACAAATTTTAATTCTACACGTATTAATTCAAGATGTGTTTGAAATACATAGTTATTTATCTACTTAAACAATTTTTGTATCAAGGATAGAAAATACTGTATAAATAGTAAATTCATAACTGACTTATGCACTAATTAGAAAGACATTGTTGTATGATATATATAACACAGACTTATACATTTATACAGAATGATCTATTTCTCATAACTCAATCAACTAATTACAAAATAAGAATAATTTCTGAAATATTAATTATTAAGTAGTTTGTGTCGTTCCACATACCTTGTAAGATTTAAAAAAATTTTAATGGCAACATACATTATTTAACTAGCATTTTCTATTTTACAAACTAAGAGCTTGTATGAACATTTTATTTTATTTTTTGGCTAACTAAATATCAAAATCAGAAACTGGCATTTTAGCTTCGATGCAAAGCTGAAAAATTATTGATTTTTTTATGGTGTACTTTTTTTTTGTTTCCGAAAGATAGTATTTGATTGTTTTTCAGAAGGGTATAGGCTAACGATTACAGAAATTCTGAAACATAATAATTGTAAAATTAAAAATATAAAAATTATTGTGAAACAAATACGCATCGAAGCATTTTTTATGATAGTGATTTTAATCACTGTCGGATATCATTAATACTTGTCCCAACTATGCTACGTCGCCACTATACTAGATTTTTTACTTGAGACCTTAATGCCAATCAATAGTTAATTTTAAAATATTATTATGGTAAAGATTTTTTTATACTTATGGCGATTATAATTAAATTTATTAAGAATTTTCATTCTCTATGATTGATGGGTAAAGGATAATGTATGACATTTTGTGAAATTATTATTTTTGTAGTTTAATTTAGAAATTAATGTAATATGAATGCGACATTGAATGTAACACAATAGTTCTAAAACAAACCAATTACGATAACAACATTGATTAGAAAAAACGTGAAATAACTTTAAGTGCTAGTGTGGATAGCATAATAATTTAAAACAATCAAAAAAGATTAAAATCAATATTACTCAAATTACCAGGAATAAAGGTGCTGGTTTTTTTTCAGTAATTGCGCATTATGTTACCATGGTCAAATTAAAAGATTTAATGATCGTTATAATCAAATTTATTTTTGTAATTACTTACCTACTAATTATATTAATTAAGGAGGTAGACAACTTAATGTTTGGACAATCTAACAATGAAAATATTCGTCTAGTTGGATTGACATTTTTTTCTTTATTATTTTGTACTTACATATAAAACCTGTCTTCAAAAAATATTTTTTTTTAGAAAATCATAATAAAAAAATCTCATAAAAATGTCTATTAGACTAATTTTACTGGCGTGTATATTAAAATAGAATAATAATTACACCTATGAAACAAATAAATTATAAAACTTAATAATTATTAAATTAGTCAATATGCGCGTATAGTAAGTTTCTTTGTAATTTATATTTTATGTGACTTAAGTTGCATAAAAACTACAATAGAAAGAAATATAATTCATTCAAACAATAAGCTAGTATAAAACTTTTTCCATAAATAAAATCAAATATTACTACCAAAGTCTAACGCGGTAGTTTACATAATTATGCAATTACGAACTACTCGTGATAGCAATGAATTAATTAATTACATTGAATGTATTGAATTGTATAACAATTTATCATGTTATTTTAACATAATCTAAAAGTAAGAGTGGCAAAAATATTAATTAAATCGTAACTTATGTAAACATTACTTCATTACTATTGGTATGTTCATAGACTATTCTTCTTTATAGGTGAATGTATTTGTAAATAACAAAATTATGATAAAAAGTATAGTCTCATTTTTAGTTTCGATGCGAAACTGAGAAGGTATTAATTTTACTATGTATTTTTTGTGTCTGTTGCCTTTTTATCTCAGCTCTCATTGGACTGATATTTTTCAGTGATACGACAAAAAATCACAAATCGAATATGGTTGAAGACAATGCCCTTGAAAATTAAAAATTTTTCGCTCGTTCCATGTAAATAGCGCAAATCCCCCAAAAAATTACGATTTTTATTATCTGTAAAGTTTAATTTTTTTTCTTAAAACTGCTACAACTTTTTGAAAATTAACGAATAAACATAACTTTTTTTTTGAAATTTTTGAATTGATACCTGAAGTAATTCTCTTTTATTTTATATATTTTTGAAAATACCAGCTCACGATTGGGGATTCAAAATAGCAATTTTTATGATACTCAACTATAATAATATCACCATAAAAATTATTTTTAATGGTAAATATTTTAAATAAATTTAACTTTAATATCTGTTATTGGAGTGCTGAGAAAATCACCTTTTATAGGTTTGACGTTATATTGACTTTTATGATTTGGTTTGTTAAAAAATGCAATATCTTTGTGACTATAAAAGCTTCCGATCAAATTAACTGACTAAATTTTTGTTTACTTCATAACCTTCATAACAAAGTATAATTTCTAAATTTACTCGTATCGAGTATCTAAGCATACATAGATGCACAATATTATATTTTATACATTATACCTATTCAGTCCGTGTGGGTGTTTTACAGTTAAATTCATTTAGAGTCCAAACAATAAAATAATCAATTAACATCATTACGCAATTAAATGGACTAATTGATTATATTAAAGAACAGTAAACATTTCATTTGTAATGAAATAACACAGTTAGTTTATTACCAAAAGGAATGCAAGATTAGTATCTATATGCATAATATTTAAATTGAATAAGTAGCACACAGAATACAGTTTTAATATAACAATTATTAAACTTATAACTAGAAGGATTCATGAACCGAAAAAATACGATGATACTTCCTTAAATATTATTTTAATTTATTAAAAATATGAATTACACTTTAGCCTGCACAGCTATGCATAAAATGAATATAATTCTCCATATGTTTTACATTAGTATTCTAGATTTGAAACTAAAATTACGTTAACAGTGAATAATTGTTTCATTCCAAGATTTCAAAATATTGTCCCAATATTTTGAATTTTTCTGCTATACTCTACTTTTTTTACTTCGACGCAACAGTGTCATCATTCAAACTGAAACTAGTTATTAATATAATTATTTAACATATAATCAAAGTATTAATTAAGACATGTAAGTTATTGAAACATTTGGCGTCAAAAATGAAGTGAATTATAAAAATAAACGTGTGCTTAGACACGCGAAAAATTGAAATAGTGGTGTGGTACGTTAAGCTACACAAATCTTATTGCAATTTTAAATTTAACCGAACAACTACCGGATGTAATGAACTAGTAAGTCACGCGCAATTGATAGATATTAATAATTTTGATGTGGCACGTATAACTTTTATACATTTATTAAATACGAGTGCAATATACTTCGACTAAAATTTGACAAGCTCAAAAAAGAGGTCTCTTACAGATTCAATAATCTCTACAAACTTCATTTAAATAGGTCATCGAGTTTTAAAATCATATAAACTTTACAATTATGTCGCATTTGCAGTATCTTCAAGTGGTCAAGTCACTTTTGAACAATCAAGTCCATCTTTGAAAACTACAAAAATTTCATATTTTTATAACAATATAAAATAAAAAGTAAATTAAATTCTTAATTCCATGTATGGTAATTCCATAAGTCTAATTAAAAAACAACGTATAACAATTCTATACATTTATTATTAGGCCAGAACAATAATAAAAATATAATAATATTACAATATTGAATAATCCTATAAATATAATTTAAATTTATATAATATAAATATAATAATTTATTAATTATATTCTAAATTTAATTTATTATACTATTAAGCTATCAAATTGAATCATAACAGCTAATAAGCTGTTATAAGCCTATAAAATAAAGATAGATCAAAATCGTTACATTTTTACATAATTTCAGCGTCGACTTAAATGATCGTTTGGAATAATTTTGCTGACAGTAAACACTAACGGTGATATTGTAAAAACAATTTTTACAATAGTGTCCGCTAGATTAACTAGCAACTAAGTAAATTTTATATCTAATTAAAATAATGGCTGGTCGATAACAACTTTTGGCACAGTATTTCGGAAGTTATTAATATTTTAATACCTAAGAGAGAGAAAGGAGAGTGCGCCCGAAAAATGACTAGTGATAAAAATAATAGCACCCACACGTATAAAAATATTTAGTTAAATCACGTCGAATTGGTATTAAAATAAATAAGATGTTGTGTAGGTTTTTGCTTAGGACAAACTTGGCGTTTGTATTACATTAGCTGTGTAATCCAAATAACTACTTTTTAAGGAGTTAATTCAACATTTCATTTTTTCAATATGAAACCAAGTTTTCTCTAATCTTGAATATTAAATAAATTCAAAATTTCCTTTAGTATACTAAAAATAACCAAATATACACTCGATTCACTTATTCAGTGAAGTTAAATTTTAACCATCAATTACTAGCAAATATATAATTTGTATATTGCTACTTGTATCTTTATTATTATTTAATTAACTTTAAATGAATTTAAATAATATACAAATTGATGATAATATTCCACCAGTTATTCTTTATTCAAATCTTAAATGCACACTGAATTTGTATTGAAGTTGAAATGACATTTAATTAACTTTAATTTATTACAAAACTGCCTTAATTAATAATAAAGATTATAGATTTCCTCCATTAAGTAGTTGTTTCTCCAAACTGAGCATACTTTAAAAATCTAGCAATAATTTCTTCATGGACATCAGAAAGGATCTAAAAAAATGTGAATACAGTAAAACTTTTATATAACAAACTTTCTTTTAATGAAATTTTTTTTGAGAACCATGATCTTCATAGTTAATCATGCATTAATTTATCACTGCATAACAAATCTGATGTTTCAATATGATGATATGATGTTTAAACAAATAAACTACTGGATAATAAATCTGTAAATATTACTATCAAATACTCAGTTTTATCGTGTAAGATAAATGTAAGTATTGATAGAGAAGCCGGTTAATTTTACTGCATCGCTCAGTTCCAATATTGACATAAACATTATGGATTCTATACATACAAAAAAAATTGAAACTTAAATGATTATCAATTATTGATAAATTCTAAATTCTAAATTAAGTTGATAAAAAGGTTATAAAAAAAAGATGGTATTCCGAAAAGTTCTCTTTCAACCATATTATAAAATCGTGAAAACAATCAAACAAATGTATGAAATCGGAACTTTTTTTGATAAAAGTACAATTTATTTTAATTTATTAGGTTTAAAAATAACAATTTTGAAACTTACAGTTTAGATTAGGATAGTAACAAAGCACAGAAAGGACCGTAACTGACCTTCACAATTACATCATTTTAGCATACAAAAAAAATTTCCTTTGATAGAAAGAAAAGGTATAAGACTGGGTGTAGCTTAGTGGAACGCTAACCTGTCAAAATTAAGAAAAAATTCTCGTTAACTCTTAAATAAAGCAATGAAATCAAATTTGGAACTTTAGGTGTTCTATAGGGGCTCTTGAAGACAACACGAATCTGCACTGAAAAGTCTAAGAAACGGGAAAAAATTTTGGGAATAATTACAACTACCCACAGCTACTAGAGACTTCTATGCTCGCTATGAAATGGAACAAACAAAACCGTCGAAGGATTATTGTCAGACGATACGTTCACAAACAATGATAATGAGACATTTTCACGTTTTTTTAACATACACTTTTTTGGCTCTGAAATTTATAACAGAGAACAGCTACATGAAGTACGGGGCAAACTTATGACCCGTGTTGAATGACAGCTAAACGAGAAAAGTAATAACCTCAAGTGACATAAGATGAGCAATAAATGCTTTTGGTAGTTTTAAAAATGCAGACTGTGACGACATATTTCCTGCACTTCTAACAAGAGGGGCTAGATTTTATAGTCCTCCATCTCTGCTATATATTTAGGACATTTCTAGCTTAAGATAATCAACCTGTAAGCTGGCGAAAGGTCAGGGTGGTGATTATACCTAAATCTAACCATGCTAACTACTATGAAGCAAAATCCTATAGACCAATAAGTCTCACTTCAATTCTTCTTAAGACCATGGAGAAATTTATTGATAGGTACATAAAAGAGAGGACTTTTAAAGAAGAACCATCAACATAAGAAACAACACGCTTACCGAACAGAAAAATTTATTAACACAGTTGAAACATCAAAGCGGGAAAAGCTTTAGAGCTTTAAATGTATACAGTAAGCATTATCCTGGACAATAAAGAGGCTTTTGATGCTATTTGTAAATTGGCACAACAGCATAGATTAGAAACCATGCTTAAGTAACGCTCTATTTTGGGATATTATAATGAAACCAAAGTAATTAAGAGTGTTAAAAAAGGATGCCAACAAGGAAGAGTTCTATCTTCCTATCTTGGTATCTAATTTTAGAATCACTTATTAAAGAGTTAAACAAATATTGTTATACACAAGCCAATGCGGATGACTTAGCTATAGTAGTGGTAGGTAAATTTTCAAACTCAATGATACACATATGGTGTAGTAAGTATAGTCTAGATGTTAATCTAAACAAAACAGAGGTAGTAAGTTTTACCAGGAGAAGAACAGAACATGACAGTCTTAATACACTTAACCAAAATGGATAAAAAATTGGCTTTTAGTCAAAAGTGAAATACTTAGGTATTATTCTATACAGTCAGTTAAGATGGAAATAACATATTAAGGAAAGAGTAAAAAAATCCATGGTTACATTGTAAATATGCAGCAAAACTTTGGGAAAAACTTGAGGCCTTAAACCAAAAAATATGCATTGGTTATACATTTCAGTGATTAAACCTATTAGGTTAACAGAGTATAATGGTGTGACTAGTAATGGAAAAACATGCTTTCTAGTGAGGATAAGTGCAGAAAAGACCTATGTTAAACAAGAACCAGTCATACGACAGACTGAGCAATCCTTCAAAGTGTTACCCAAAATATGGCGTAGAGAACGACACAGGAAAATATGGAATTACCTTGTAGTACCCAGACAATCAAAATTTATTATCAGGACACCCAGTCTACTACTGAGGAATCTTAATAACATGACATCAAATAAGTACTCTGACTGGATTACTTACAGGACACAGTCATCTGCTTAAACATCTTTATTCAATGAGGGTGACAGAATGACCACTACTCAGGAAGTATGGAATAAAAGGAGAAGATTAATTTCATATTATGTGTGAATGATACCCTGACTACATTAAGATCTATACTTTGAGAAAAACTTTTTCCGAAAAAGAAGATATCGAAAAATTAAAACACAAAGATGTACTTAATTTTGTCAGAGAAACAGGACTCTTTGAACAATAATTGGTATTCAACAATGTCGACACTTCGGTAGAAACACTTATGTGAATCGGTAGGGGGTGTGCACAATGGACTTACAGGTTTGAGTGCATAGGTAGTTCTCACTCACCTCGATAACAACTTAAACTAACTTAACATAAAATATAAACAATTTGAAATTTCTGTATTCAGCACTGTACTATCATCACATTACATTTAAAAATATTGTTACAAGGATTATATTAGAATAAATCTACTTAAATTAAATATAAATGTGGTTATAATTAATTATAAGTTTCTAGGTATATACAATATATAAATATTGAAATAAAATATTATTTTTAAAGTAATTAAAAAGTGTAATGGAAAGACTCAAGAAGGCAGGAGCAAAATCCAAAAATATCATATTATTGAATTTTATATGTTAAAATCTACTTAGCTATAAAATCATCAATAAATGGGTATAAAAAACCTTCATTGGCCAGTCAATTCTTAGAATACTCAATGTCGTCTTTAAATTCAATAAAGATAATGAAAGAAATAATGTATATACATGGGAAATCAACAGGCAACAACAGGAATACAACACAGTTTTTCCACTTAAAGAATAATATAATAAACAATAATGCTATTACACATTTACAATATTAATCATATACATAAATATTATGATAAAACATCTACAAAATAAATAAAATATATATATTAAATAAACAATACAAAAATACATCTTAGCCAACTCACGACTCACTGTTAATACTAGAAGATACCACTACCCATCTCCTGACTAAATAAGTGGTGCCATCTAAACATCAACAGAACATACATTTCAACCCTCTTTTTGATCAGTCATATGAACTGATTGACAGTTTTCCATCTCTTCCTATTTAACATTCTGTAATGTACCCATAGATGTAAAGAGTTATCTTTCTTAACGACTAAAACTATTGGACTAGCATAGTCAGTACAGCTAGGTCTAATGTCATCTCTTAACTATTCATCTATTTTTTTATTAACTTGATATATTTTTGTACCAGTAAATACAATTCTAGTCTTCTTAATAAAGTTTTATCTTTATAAATTGCGACTTCATCCAAATTTAACATAAATGACCTTCGACTGAGATTCATATTATTAATAATATCAACTAAAGCGTTTGTTTCTATACCAACTAGTTCACTTATATGATTTCAAGAATTAATGATACCATTGACTTGATTCATATGTACTTTAAAATTTTTATATCTTTGACCACTATCAGTATTTAGTCGACTGATCGATGGCCAATGATGACACATTGTAACCTAATTTCTCACATAAAAAATATTTAAATATTTTATTAACATCATGGCAGAACCTAGAATGGTGACCCTTTGCACCACATTTATAATAATTTTTGCTGGACGACCCTCTTGTTTATATAATTTTCATGAAATATTAGGTGATTTATTCAAAGTTTTTCGACTTTACATTTGCTATTATGTTCAACTTGATAAAAGTTATGATAAAACATTTATAATAAAAAACATATAAATCAAATAAAAACAAAGTCATCAATAAACAACATATAAACAAGTGTTAGCCCACTCAACTCACACAACACTCATTGTTAATACTAGATGAATGCGCACAATGGACCAACAGGTCTGAGTGCATGGGTATTATGTCCACCTCGATAATAACTAATACTAGATGATACCACTATCCACCTTCTGATATAATAAGAGATGCCATCTAGACATCAACGGTACCCATATATATACACACACACACACTACCATGTAGGTACCATTGAAGTCTAGATGGCACCACTTCCATGGTCTAGAGGTGGGTAGCAGTGTCATCTAGTAGTAACATCGGGGAAACTTAAATCAAGTGTTGAATGAGTTTTTGGTCATCTAAGACATGTTATCGTTGTTGTGTTCATTTAATTCATATGTTTTTGTTTATGAGTATTTTATCGTAACTTGATGTTTACATGAATAATACTATATATATTGTAAAGATATTTGCGACATAAAGACGGCTGATATGAGTGTAGATGATGTGGGGATCATGTTAAGTGGAAGTTTAGGATAAGAGTGGCCGACCCCAAGTAGTTGGGATTAAGGCGAGGAAAAAGAAGAAAATATTGTAAAGAATATTATACTTTGTTTATTATAATAATCTTAAAGATAAAAACTGTTATATTCCTGTAATTGCCTGTTAAATTCTCACACACACACACACATATATATATATATACTATTATAATATAAAATAAAGTAAATAGAATACTATCGGATAAGTATTTTAATATTTAACAATTATAAGTTTACAGTTGGTTTATAAAATCATATATAATCATACCTTTTGTTCTTCTAGCTATTTGTTAAAAATTTAATTTTCACTGTAATAAAATAATTATTCTTAGTCAATATTTAAGAATTATAATAACATATTTGATTTATTAATAATAATAATTATTGAATATTTTAACAAATTAAGATATTTTTTAGACATCGTATACAGTTGTAAAGAAATGGGATAAATTTATCAAAAAAAAAATTTACAAACCTACTATACATTTTTCTTAATTATACTAGCTTATACATTTTAAGTGATAATCCTAGAAAAGGGATTTGTTTTATATATGTAAATAGTTGAGTAGATAATTATAAATTCTACCTAAGTTAAAAAAATAATTAATAAGTGTTCAATGAATACAATAATTTACTTTTTATGTGAATTTAAATAGGCATGTTAGAAGTAATATCTATTTTAAGAATTTATACTAAATATATACATTTAATAGTAAAAAATAATAATAGGTTCCCATTTCATTTTATAAAGGTAACCCTTCATAACTAATGTGCAGCAGCTCAAATAAAGTCTATACAGAGGTAATTCTTTTAACGATAGTCACTCAATTTCTCCTAAAATTATAATTTATTTATGAACTTTTTTTTGTCTTGTTGTAGTAACATATGTATGTTTAGTTATTTGCTATGATATATTTTTTATATTCATCTTTCATATCTTATAGGGGTGTCAACTTTATTTTTTTAAATGGAAACATATATATTTTACTAGCTTATAAAATATAAATTGATCTAATGACTGGTCAATAATAACTTTTGGACTAGTATTTCAAAAGTTATTATTAATTTAAATTAATTTTTAAAGTACTTACTGGAGGTGAGGAGTGGGTACTGCTATTTCTATCATTAGATATTTTTTGGCCTCACTCTTCCGCCCACCAAAGTATAAAAATGTTGAAAACTTATTAAATATTGGTCCAAAAGTTATTATTGACCAGTCATATTCTAAATTAGATCATTTTATACTTTATAATCTAGTGAAATAATTATTTTGAGAGAAATTTAGTGGCTAGTGTTAAAAGAATCACCTTGAATACAAGATGATATTTATTCCAATAATAAATGAAATAAATAAAATATAATTGTTCTTTATGTAAAAAATAATTTATTAGTACTTACATACAATGACCATTACATAGGTTTATTTCATTATTCGTAAGTGTTTAATTTATTGTAGTAGGAGAGGTGGAAGATTTAAACGATGTAGACGAAGGTAAAATGAAATGTTGTCTATTATTAAAATCCATATCATTTGAAGCACAAGTCAGTTCAGTTAATAAACATAATTTTCTATTGGTGAGAATTTGAAGATATGAATTAAACTAACACAAGTATATAGAATTATAATAACGTACGATAAACAAAATTATTCTGATAATCGTAAACTAATTACAATATTTTTAAAAGTTGTAACTACACTAGATAATATTATACTTACCAGAGGCTCACTTTTTTGGAATAAATCCATTATGAATGGTGTAATAAAATAAGATCAACTCTGAACTCATAAATAAAGAGTGCGAACCAATAAGAGAAAAGCGTGTGGCAACTATTATTAAAAGTAATAACACATAATGGAATCAATATGATAAAATTAAACAATAATCAGAATTACTCTCAATCCACTCCGGGAAAACACTACACCATAATAAAATTTTAAGATAACGTTTAAAAGCGAACTATTAGAACCATTTTTACTAGAAATTAAATTAAACATAGTTTTTTTTTTAATATTATTCATAACTTATAATGCATATTAATATTATTATTATTAATATTGCCTTCATGTTAGTGATGAATACCGTATACACGCATACATTTAAAGTGAAAATTATTATAATATGACAAGTTATGATTATGATGTTAAATTACGATTATATGGTATTAATTATGTCATTTCAACAACTTAATTTAAAAACGTTACTCATGTAATACAGTACTTTTCTATTAAAATATTATATGAGTTAACTGAAATTTGTACATAATAGTTGTTTTAACAAAACGTAATATAGAATACCAGTAGTCAATGTAATACCTCAATGATGATATTTCATCTACAAATAACTACTAAATTGATATTTCCCTACGTATCACTCAATCTAATGTAATGTTAATACCAATATTTCCATATGTGCACGTTTCACCTCCAGTCATCATTGTAACATGGGATGAACATAAAAAATATATAACAGATAAATGGAGATGCATATGTCAACTATCAAAAGCCAAAAAAAAATATTAGATTAAGAAAAAATATTATTTTTGAAGAAATTGAGTAGCTAGTGCTTAAAGAATTGTACGGTAATGGCAACATATTTTTTTTTTTGGAGATCTAATTCGTTAACTAAGGTTACCAAGCTTTTTATTGGCCTGTGGCTAAAAGGAGATAAGCATAGGCGTAACAAGTGTCACTGGTTGTACCGATGACGGTCCTTCATAGACACGGTTCCTTTGGACGAGAATCCCATCACCCCACTTTAAAACTTGTGAGTGTTGAGCGGACAGTGAAACCAAATATTAAAAAAAATATTTTACTTTCCCATGAATAATTTCTGTGGATGCCATTGCCTGCGTATATTGTAAATGCTTTATAAAAAACGTTGTTTTTGATGATTTACCTTTTTATTATTTTACCCGCTTAAAATTAAGAATAACATAGAAATTATATTACAAACAATGGCTGCTACGGTTGCATACCAGTTTTTAATAACTTAATTACCGGTATTGTAATTTATGTATAATAATAAACAAAAAACTATTGTAATTTTCGTATATGTCATTAATTATAAATTAGAGTAATATGTCTTATATTTCCATGTCGGAGAGATAAACGTGAACAGTAATTTTGTTTTTATGCACAGCTTTAATTAAAATTTTTCTCAGGATAAAATATAAACAATATTTTTAATGCTGACAGTTATTAAAACCTATATTTAACCATACGTATATTTTATTCGTTTTAATTTGTGACTTAGATTAAACAACTACACATTTAAGCTAAAAATAAGAATACATGAATATTAAACATTAAATATATAAATCACCAAAAGTATATTATTTTAACTTTTATTTGATTTATTGCAGGTTTTGCTGTTTTAAATTTATTTTGTCAATGTTTTTTAACAGTGCACCAGTAGGTTACATTATATATAATCTAGCATAGACTAGGAGAAATTTTTTCTCCCAGTTTATATAACTTTAAACAAAACGTACTCATTTTAAATTTATTATAACTTTTGTTGTATGGTAAAAAGTGGCTAATGAGGCAGAGCACACTGTCACGGATTTGACTCAGTCGCGGTCGGTTCGTTTTGCCGAGTGTAGTAACTGGAATCGCCATCCCTGTCACCGGCGACAGTTAACCACATCTATTTTAAAGTATTCGTGGTTAAGAAACCTACTCTTCGGGAAGGCGTCTATGATCTATAAGTCATGATATTATTTCAGTACTTTCCCTTCTGCAAACATAGATTAAATTGGGCTAATTAGATATATTTTATCATTATCCTGATCAAGACAAAATTATTACTTATTTAGAAACATTTTATTTTATTTTTTAATTACGTATGTTATTACAAAAATGTCTATAATAAAAAGGGCTTATAACGTTCTGATTTTCACGCAATTTATAATCATAAAGATTTTAGTAATAACGTTACAACTACTAAAAAACAATTAGAATCCTAAAACATAAAAAAAACTGGTAACGTTTAACGAAAAATGTATAATAACGACATCGACACATAACTTAAAACGAAATAAAACAAAAATCAAAACTAAACAGACCGTAATGATAAACGTATTGATGATGATTCGCCATAAAAATTACGTATAAATGTACGAGTAGGTATGATTTTAGTATAATGAAATATATATAGTATTTTATTATAATACTACCTCTAATTGTTTCGTTAAGCGATATTTTTTTCATATAAATTTACATGTTGAAAAATGTATTTATTTTTATAAACTATAGTAAATATTAAAATTGTTGTAAAAAATTTTTTTATAATTTTAAGGGTAGTTTTTAGGGGTAACTTTCGAAAGTTAAATGGGAACCTATTATCATTTTTTTACAATGAAATGGAGAGTGGAATACATAACTTTAACGCTTAATAACGTACAAATAGCGTTCATTTATTACTTTTAACTTTTTTGAAAAAATGGAGATCTATTTTAATTTTTAATATTTTTTCGTACCAAAGCTAAAATTTTACAAAGTTAACAGAAAATATGTTGTGACCTACACAATATTGTTATTACAGCAAGACTTAAAAGCATCATATTCAAACTTATTTTGAATGGAGTTTTTTTTTTTTTACTAAATATAGCTATAATACTCTTTGCAATATAGATGGGTTCAGTGTCGGTTTGTGGGTGCTGGTGGTGGGGGTACGACTTTAAATATAATACCGCTAGTTATAGGGATAAAAAAATGTCAAATTAAATATAATAAAATAAAACACATTACACATATTATTATTTTAAAGGTCGCAGTAGAAAATAGAAATGAAAATAATAATAGCGATTTTACTATTATAGCACCGATAACGACGAGTGTACACGAATTAATTCTAAAAATAAATTACCCATTATAGTAATATACTAATATTTTACTGTATGGATTATGCTGCCGGTCGTTTAAAACCCGTACATAAGGTTGCAGCTAAGCCTTGCTCGCACGCACATAATAGTAGTGATGGGCATAATCGAATGATTAGTAATCGAGACATTTTCATAATCGAGTGAATCTCTCGAAAAATCACTCGAAGTTAAAATCGTCTGCTCGTATGATAAGAATAATCAACTATTATTATTTATCGAGAGAATCGAAAAATTATTCGAAATATGAATAAATATACCTATAGTAAATAATTATTAATTTAATTTTGCTTTTTTTATTTGTTGGTGTTTATTTATAATTAATATATTAAACTATAATTTAGGAATAATAATAACAATAATATATTAATAATGCATTATTAATAAGTGCTTTAAATAAAAGTCAAGTTGTTATTTTTTTTATTTAATAATTATTACCTATATTTAAAAAAAACCGATAACAAATTTAAAAATAAAAACATAAGATAAGGTAGCAATAGCCTGCTTGACCATCATAATTAAAACACCTAATTCCACACCTAATTGATTTTTCATAAATTCACAACTAGTGAGAGAATCAGAACTCAGTAGTTTAACCAGTTCAGGACAAAACTTTGTTCTAATCGTCACATACTTCCCAAAATTGTGACAGATAAGGTGTTGCCATGAGTAGCGATTGAACGAGTTGAAAATAAGACACGAAGTCAACAATTTAATAATAATTCGACTATAATTTATGCTAAATAAAAACTTAAAAATAGTATTCTCTCGTTTCATCGTTTCATGGACATCATTCGAAATAACTTTTATTCGATTATATACATTTCAAGATCAAAAAATCATTGTTTTTATAATAAACGAGAAATCATTAGAAATAATCACTCGATTACAGAATAATCAATATTATTCTAATATTATTTATTAAAAAAATCAGAATATCTCGATTATATAATAGATATGATTTCAATAATCGAAATATCTCGATTAAGCCCATCACTACATAATAGCACACCTCGCTTATAGTATACGTTTCTGCATGTTGTTCGGACGACGCTGTTGGTCGTTCAAACACTGCTTGTGTGTGCATGCGTAATCGTATATACTGAGGGAAACAACTTTAATGTCCTCACACGACAAATGTATTATAACTATTTTACTATTTAAAAATTTGCATTTTTAATAAAAAAGTAGAATTAAGAATATACAATTAATTTTCTTCTTTTAATTAATTTTAATAGGGGGTGCGGTCATCCCGTCGTCCAAGCCATGCCATGAGCCATCCCACTGATGGGTTTAAGGTATTTTTTTTCTTCACTAAATAAAAAATTGTCATCCTATTTGATTCTATTAGGTCTTCGTGTAAATAATGAAAAAGTAATTCCAGTACTTAATTTTTAGCTTATTAGATCATAATTTTGGAAAAAAAGTCATTTACATTTAATTATCCCTCCTTAATTGAAAAAAGTTCTAGGAAATACACCTGCTTCAGAATAAGCTATAGATCTATACAAGTAAAAACAATTATTAGTTACTAATTGTGTACAAAAAACATTAAGCAATTTAGAAATATACGTTAACATGTTTATACATCGTAAAAGCTAATTGAAATGTTAATGTGCAAGTATTGTTATTTTCTTTATTACCCTAATTAACTTTACACGTTACAACTGACTGCTCTAAAAGACAACTCGTAACTATTTGAATTCCGTACATGATAATTTTTTACTATAAATTAATAAAACGTTTATATTCTTAACAAGAATTGTATACAAATATTTTGACTTAATTATTGAGCTGTAGAAGACGAAAACACTATCACATTCTTTTTACACTTATTAGTGCTGAAAATATTGTGCATGATATCTTCTTCCATGAAATAAGGTGGTTACTTGCTGTTCCAAGGTGATCGTCGCGGACACAAAATGGACCGCCAAACTGATAACAGGATTTCTTTATGATAAAAAGTCAATGCATTTACCAGCATGCAATCTTTATCGCGTGTGTCCAAATTCCATTGAACTACTTTATTAATAATTTTACAATTATAAATTAATAGTATTCAGACACTGTATTACGTAAAGTATATTTAATTGACGTTCGATTATTATTAAATTTTTTTTTGTTACTGCTGTATATTATTCATTTTTAATTAATATCTTATCAATGACAAAGTTTTATTTTATGTATTTTTTTGTTGTTATTATTACAATTATATAAATTTTAAATTGTAAGTCTTTTGCTCAAAATATTATTTAGAAATTTGATTATCTTTTACATTGAAGTTATTTTTTTATAATGGATACTGAGACAATTAAGGATACAACACATTCAGATACCACTGGCAAAGATGAGCCTTTACTTTCGGATAACACTATCATAGCAGAAAAAGTAATTTTAAGAACATTATTCATCATAGTTCTACGAACAAAATATATGTTTATATTTTATATTTAGGTTGATAAATCATTAAAATCTGAGTCAACAGATGATCAAATATGTTCTAATGCTGTTGAAAACCCAACTAAAATTGAGTCCAAAGCAGCAATTCAGACTGAAGTTGAAAAATCTACAAATGTTTCTTTTGAATCTATTGATACTACAAAACTAGAAAATTCAAGTTACAATATCAATATCAACAATAATTCTAACACAAATAATGATGATATTTGTGAAAGTATCTCTTCTACAACAAATTCTTTGAATGATGTTGTAAGTTCAAATATTGATAATAAAAGTGCAGTTATAAATAATTCAGAAAAATTAGTAAACTCTAATTGTGATACTATTATAAAAGAAAGCTTAGATATTTTAGAAGAAGAAAAAAATATAGAAATTGAAGTAGCTCAAAAAGTTGAAGAAGAAAAAAACCAGTCGGTTGCTGAAGATAAATCTCTTGGAATCACTAATGGTTTAGAAACAAAAGAAGTTGATTCTCCTTTAAATGACAGTTTTGTAACCTCAGTTCAAGAATTATCTATTTCAGTATCTAATGATGAACAAATTGAAGAAATTATCACTAAGTCAGTAGATCAACAAAAAGAAATTGCTTCTGATACTGAAATAAAAAATTTAAATGACGAAGAAGATGACAGAATTTCTGCATCTGGTTTTGTAGATGTAAGAGACTACGTTGAGGAAGAATGTATAGATGAACAAGATTGTGAGGATGAATGTGAATATGAAGAGGTAAAAACTTTTCATAATTATTAAATTAATCATATAAAGTTTAGGAATTTTCTATTTATCTAATTGTTTATTATATTTTTTTCCTGGATTAGTATTTATCGGTGTTTATTTATTATCAATATTATCACGACATAGGTGTACAATGTCCACTAAACACTGAGCAATCATCAACTGTCAGTCATTGTATTTTTGTTTTGTTTATTTTTTGACATATAAGTGTACAATTTCTTATTTAAAGCTTAAAACTTAGTCTTAACGCTGATTCACTTAAAACTAAATTTTATTTAATAACTCTGTATTAATGTTTTTTGTTCATATGTCAAGGTGATTTATTTGTAATTATCATAAACCAAAAGAAAAATAATATTGAGAATTTTTTTTATGTCATTTAGATTTTTGTTTTTCTCAATTTACTAATAATAAATAATTTTTAACATTCATCCCTTACACTTTATAATAGTGTCAACTTTATTTTTTCAAATGGCAACATGTATAATTAACTAGTTTAATACATAATGATCTAATAAAGAAAATAACTGGTCGATACCCAACCCTTAGTATTTCAAAATTTTATAGTGATGACTGAAGGTATGATGTGGTTGTTGTTATTTTTATTATTAGTTATTTCCCTGCTGAAATCTTTTTTTATCTAGTTATAAAAATGTAAATAGTTTCCAAAATACTGGTCCAAAAGTTATTTTCAACCAGTCATTTTCTTAATTACATCATTATTTATTATACAACTAGTTAATTATGTATGTTTCCTTTAAAAAACTTGAAGTTTACACCCTTATAAGGTATTTGTATCTATTTTGTCACAGTTTATAAATTGAGAAAACATGTAACTCTAAAATACCAAAAAAAAAATTAATATTATTTCTATTTTCTGATTAATTAAATGGTTCATGATAAATGAATATATGAACATATTTTTCTTTTTCCGGCTTTAAAATTCTTTGAGGATTTTTACCGCCAAAATTACCTTCATCCATTTCTCTCTATCATATTCTATAACTTGCCAATCTGCCCCATCTTCTTGGGCTACCGCATTCCATACCTCATTTATACTGTCTATCCATCTTCTTCGTGATCTTTCTCTTGGTCTCCTCTCCGCTACCTTACAAGTAATAATTTTTTTTATTAAGCATCCATCTGCTCACCACACATGTTTGGCCCATTGCATTCTTATACTTTTAATATATTGCACAATATTTTCCTTTTTGTATAAGTTTTTTAGCTGGACATTTGATCTCAGTTCCCATTGTGTTTGTATATTATATGCTGGACCATGTATTCTCCTTAAGATTTTCCTTTCAAATTTTCTCAATTTCTCTTTGTCACCTTTAGTTGTGGACTATGTGGTACATGCATAAGTCAGAACTGGTTTTATGTAGTTTATATAAAGTTTTCCTTTGACTTTTTTTAATATCGTTTTTGATTTAAAAATGGTCTCCATTGCGAAATAACATTGATTTAATGCATTCGGCCTCACATTTATTTCTTCGTGCATAATATTCTTGTTATTTAGAATTACTCCAAGGTATTTAAATTCTTTAATTTGTTCGAATTCATTATTTTCGACTTAAAGGTTGGAGCTATCTACTGGTCCTCTTGTTACTACCATGTATTTTGTCTTCCCCACATCTACCACTAAACCCATATTTTTACTTGCTTTCATTAATTTCTTCAAATTCATTTGAACTTCTGCTCTAGTATTCCCAGTGATTATGATGTCATATGCGTATGCAAGTAGTTGTCCTCTATCGAGTGCCCCGGCTTCTCCGTTTGACACTTCTTGGACCACACTTTCTTATGCTATTTTAAAAAGTATGGGTGACATAGCATCCCCTTGTCTTGGTCCATTTTTGATTTCAAAAGCTGTAGACAGTCCCAAGTTTTACTCTACTATACGTTTTACTGTTGCATAATTTTACCATTTTTATAGGGATGTCAAATCTTCTGAGCGCCTACCATAGCATCTCACTGTCTACGCCATCATAAGCCTGTTTATAATTTACAAATACCATATGCAGATCCTTTGTGTATTCATAGTGCTTTTCCATTAATTGTCTCACTACAAATATATGGTCTGTTGTTGATGTTCCTTTTCTGGATTCATTTTGGTATTCTCCTACAGCTTCTTTAGGGTATCTTTTTAATATTATTAATGATAAGACCTTGTATCCTGTAATTATTAGTGTTATTCCTCTGTAGTTTTTTACTTTCCCCCTATCTCCTTTTTTGAATATTGGGCATATAAGTGTTTCATTCCAACTATCCGAAATCCTTTCTTCTTCCCATATTTGTAGAATTACCAAATGTAGTTCCCTTTCTATTTTTAACCTCCTAACTTCCACAATTCTGAGTTAATCCTGTCTTTACCTGATGCCTTATTATTTTTCAGGGTGTGTATTATCTTTTTTATTTTATCCCGACTAGGGGCAAGTACTTCCTGGTTTACTGTATTATAAGCTCTGATTTCTTGGTCAATACTGTCATTACCCAGTACTTTATTTAGTAATTCTCTAAAATACTCATTGAACTATCATTTCTGGGCCAGATATCACGGCACCATTTTTATCTACTTGAGATAATATCTGTGGGATAAAGCCAGATTTAATTGACTTGCATCTTTTAAAAAATTTTTTTAATTGTATTTAAATCTTTCAATCTCTTCAATCCTAGATATTTCTGACATTATTTTCTCTTTTCTTATCAGCTTTGTCACTTCCTTTTGATTTCAAATTCTCTTATGTTTTCAGGTGTGGGTAACTGGATTGCTTTAATCCTAGCATTGTTACATTCCTGGATTCCTTTTCTACAACGATCGTTGAAACATTTATTTCTTTTTGGCCTCTGTGTGAATTGCACTACACTCTCCGCTGTTTCTATTATTGAATTTTTAACCATCTTTTATTTGTCCTCCAATTCTTCAATACTTTTATTCTTTTTTTATTTTTTTTACTTTTGCATCAATTAAGCCTATAACAGATTGTCAGCATCCTTGGTTCATCATCACTTATTTCAAATTTTTATGGTTACAGTTTAAATTGATCATTATTTATAAAATTATCTATTTGTCTGTATATAACTTTAAGTTAATATTCAGACTAAATAAAATATCCCTTAAAAGATATAAAAGATATATAAATAATTAGAACAATTATTGTATGTACAATAGTATTTTAAATTAAATTAAAAAATTATTTTTTTAATTATGTAAATTATGGATTCATGTTTCAATTTTTTAAGTCTTCAAAACTTTAAGATTCAGTTTTGGCACTATGATTTTAAATGCTCTGGAAAAATGTGAGGCCAAACCATATTAAAAAACTTTGGAATGATTTTTTTTGTGTTAGATAGCAGTCCCTTCCTTTCTCATTGCATCAAGACAGATTATTATTATTTTTCAAAAGTTATATTTGGGTAATTCATATATATTTCAGGAATCTATTCAAACCAAAGATCAAGAACAATCTACTGTGCCTGTCAGTGTGGATGATGATACAAATGATCCACAATATATACCTAGACGAGGAAGATTTTATGAACATGATGATAGAATGGCTTATAGTACTTCAGGAAGCGAGTTAGTAACTATAAAAATAATAAACTCATTATTAAATTGTCAGTTAATCATTAAACTAATGCAATAATTATTACATTATTGAGTAGTTATTTTTATTTATTTTTTTTTTTTGTAGAGTGGTTATTTTAATCATTAAACGTTTTTACTTATAAAATTCAATTTTGTTTAAGTATTTTTATTTTAAGTATATTTTTATTTTAAATACTAAATATTCTTCATTTATGATTACATTTGCACTTCATAATTCTATAATAATAATAAGAACCAAAAATATTAATACAATTTAGCATAGATTATTTTTAAATTTAACTAAATATTTTTTTTATTGAAACTAATACAAATCTATAAACATTTTGGGGTCCAATATTTTTGATAGCATAAGACCTTTATTTCCAATAAATAACTAGTCATTAAAACTGTCAAATTTTGAGCAGCTCTTACTCTTGTTGTATGGGTCTGCATTGTTATAAAATATATAAAACTTTTTCATAGGAATCTACTATAGACTTCTATCTTCAATGTTTATTTTAGTGTTTGAATAATTTAATTTTATTGAAGGCATAAGTATTATTACATTTTAGAGTACACTTAAATAAATATATTTTTGTACTAACAATATCTTAACAAAATTGTTTTAATATCAAAGTGAACCTCCTCTAATTAATTTTCATTAATTAATCCTTAAAAAAAATAAATAAGTTATTAATAAAAAAAGAAAATCTAACTATTTGAAATACTGTTGAAATGTCTTTAAGAATACTTTTTGCTTTTAGTATTCAATTATATGTTTAAAAATATATTTAAAAAGTATTTTTTATATGACTGATTAAATTATACTGTTGTTTGATACTCATTACTAAATAATAATTTTGGTTAAAAACTTAAATTTTACAATATAGTGACTAAAAACCTTGTGCAATATTTTAACTGGAATAATTGAGTTATTTTTTTATTGGTAACATTTTATTTTATTTATCACGAACCTAAAATTTTAAAATAACCATTGTATTAGAATATGTATAGTCCAAAAAATAGTTCTAAGTAATACTATAAATGTGATTTAGCACACAAATTTTTAATAATTAACCTATAACATCTCTAATAAATTATAATTTATTTATTTAATAAATCGAACATTTTTAGAGCGGAAGATGAAGAGAATGATATATTTGAGGGAGAAGAAAGCACTAGTAAATCTTTTCAAGATGGAGAAGTAGTCAAAAAAAAAAAGATATTGGCCATATCAAAGGTTGCTACTACTACTCAAGGAACTTTATCTACTATTTCTTCCCAGAAAGATTCTGCTGGAACACCTGATGGTAAACCTTTAAGAAAAAGTAGACCTGATGCAGTTGACAAGTGGGTGCATGACAAATATGATGAACACCAACAGAGTCCAAAGAGTACAGCAGAGTTAGTTAGAGCATATGGCTATAATATTCGAGTTGAGAGTGAACCTCCTAAAGCTAGACGTCATCATAAATATGGGTAAAAACAATATATTATAATATATCACTTCCATATGTATATTACATAACCTGTAATTATATGCATATATGTATTATTTGAGCCACTTTGAAGGGTCCCAAGTCAGTGCAATTTTGTCATAAGATTATATAGAAATATAGGAATATTTTTTTTTTAATGAGGAGAGGGTATGCCCTTTTAATCCCCCCTAATACTATAACCTCATTAACAACATATTACCTAGTTTTGATGTCAATTAATAAAAAATTGTACTGACTAATGGAATTTTTGGTATA